TAGTTAGTATGCTCTAGCTCATACTTTCATCGTAATAAAAATATTTTAACTATTTCTTCTAGTACACGAAAATGCTATTATAAGACTATATATCAAGTGACGATCTGTATAAATTTTAGTAACATGTTAGTATTTCGTTGGAATTCTAATTTGCCGTATACCACACATAAATTTCGTATACAAGTACCATCTGAAATAATTATTTATTTATAGCCATACATTACAGTAAATACGATTATAAATCTAGTTTAGATATGTGGAATAATATAGTAATAGCCTTACTGATAGGCAGACTTTCTTTACATCAATTTGCATAACAGTGCAGTATATCAAGTATGCAATATGAAATTGTCCATTAATATCGATACAGATTCAAATATTATAGTAATTATTGATACTCGTCACATTAATAGTTATTGATACTATGATTTAAATTAGCTACTTTCTTATCATATTCTGCCATACCTGAAGTAGCATGGATATTAAAATACCTACCACAATAATTAATATAAACGATTTTGTGTTATCATTGTTGTTATTAGTATGTTGATTTCGATCATTAAACTTTTGGTGATCTGATAACCGCTGTTGTTCATCTTTGAGAAGTTTAATTGCTTCTGACATCATTTTAGAATTATCAGAAATAGAATTAAGAGTCCCTTGTATTCGTTCATTCTGTATTCGATCTGGATCATGTATTTTTGGATTGCGGCCAAGAGTCATTAATTCGCTACTCCATTCTAATTGTCTTTGCTGCTGCAACTGTTGCAAATCTTCAAAGACTTGTTTTAAACTTTCAGTTAACGCTTGGACACCTCCTTGTAGCCTTTCGATATGCTCTCGATGTATTTGCTGTTCAGCAACCAATTCTAAAGATTTATCTTGTACATCGTCTCTTAATTTACCATATTCCGAACAAGTAGACTCCAACTTTTTTGCAATCACTGCCTGTTTTCGATTGAAATTATCTACTTGGCTGAGCAAATCATTGTGAGCCATTTCAAAATTACTTGTACTTTGTTCGATATAATTTTTAGTATTTTGTGATAGATCTTGCATGTATTTGCTCATGCTATCCTGCGTTTGACTAACTATATCAATATCTTCATCGCGTCTCTTATTTTCGATTGTTAAATCATCAATAAGATTACTTAATGAATCCAATGAAGCTGAATAATAACAAATACCAGTTGAAATTTTATCGTCGATGCTGTTTTCCAAGTTATTGACTTGTACGGTCAAAGTAGATAACTTTTTTGCAATACCTTCAATTTCGCTGCTGATTTTATTATCATCTCCATTTAATTTCTATGTGTATAAATCATAACATATTATTTCTAGAATTATCTGTTTTCCAGCTAGATCATAATGTATTATAATTACTTCACTTTTACTCACAGACTAGCTATAAGGTATCTACTTATTTCGAACTATTTTAAAACATTTATATTGATCAAATAATGTAAGAATGTTTCTTATTCTTTCTCTATTCCTCTATTTTATTGTCTACTTAATTTTAATATTGCTAACAAATCAACGCATAGATAGATTAAGTATATATAAAAAATGGAGAGATTAAAATCCTATCTGACCTTCTCTATAGTTAGTCTTAAAATTTCCTGTATGGTTACCGAATTGACCTTAGCTGCTACATCAATTGATGTTTCATTGGCCTGTAAATATGTTGTAATCGTAAGAGAGAATAAATTAGCATTGTATTCAGCTTTACTTACCACGTAGCACATTATCAAATGTAGCAATAATAACTTTGTATAATAATTACGAATTTACAAACTTGGATAATATATAATGTCAAACAACAAGAAATTGATAATTTAAAGTAATCATGAATATTGTCTTTATACTAGACATGTTAACATTTGAAAAAAGTCAGTGTTAAAAATAAGATCAATTACGTAACAGTCTTCGTTTATCAGAACCTTGGTAGTATTACATGTCAACAGTAGCGGCTTCGAGAACTCACACGTAATTGGTATTTTAATACAGCAATGACGGTCAACAATACTTAATGAGCTAATGTACTTGATAGATTAACATAAACTTAGGCAGCCGTGCCTGAAGTATAGTAATTGATAAGGATTGCCACTCTTATTGATATGACATAGCTATATTTTACGTTTAAAACGCTAAGGTAGAAATGTATCTAGCTGGATGCTGTTATTTAAAGCATTACTTATTGATAAATCATAATAATAACCATCGAACTAACTAAAGAGTATCTACTACGTAGTAAAATTGTAGTCTCAATTCTCGTTAAAAAAGATATTATCCTGAAGCCGTGACAAGATTTTCAAATGAAAGTTATGCTTTTCATATCGGAAATGTTTGATGGTTTACCTTATTTATTGCATAAATATCCACGTTAAATTGTAATAAAACTTCGACACATCTTGGTTTTTTACATCGAACAGCATAATGTAATGCTGTGCCAAAATTCTAGAGATTATGGTAGAAACGAGAAATCAAGGCTGTCTTGAGATAAATAGCTTAGTTTAGAAAATGATCTGACTTAATTTCCTCTGCAGATGTATATATTAAACTATTTGATTTTTATAGATTTATATTCAGCGTTTTACTTACATCATAACACTGATTAATATCTTTACAGTGTTTAAGAAGAACTTTAAGGCAGTCTCCTCTATCATGGGCGATTGCATATAAAATTGGTACTTTATTTTCCTACAGAATAGAAACAGTAGTATTCATTAGCTAGTTGGTAGCTGATGTCAGAATAATAATGAAAGTGACGATAGCAATCTATGTTTTATAAGAATACTAACATTATTAGCGATATCTGTTCGTGCTCCGTACTTAAGAAGGACCTTTAGTGGTTCCACCATTCCTATTTCTATTGCATGATGAATGGCACAACGTCCTCTCTAAAAAATGTGTCAAAGCCAACAAAATACTCTAATTCAATATTATAAATTATTATATTTGCTCGGTTGCTTATAATGAATAAAATAGCTTCTCAACGTACATCGTCCCTTTGGTTTATATCTACTTTGTTCTTAATTAACCATTCAACAGCAATAGATTCTTTACGACGTGCTGCATAATGCAAAGGTGAACACTTGATCTATAGATTTCAATTCAGATAATAGGCAATATATCAGTTAAGTACAAATCGTAAGGTACAATAATCTAATTGATTAATCGAATAAATTGATTTCGAAACCACTGTAATTGATATTACTTACGTCTACAAGGGAATTTAAATCACCATTAGCTTCATATAACATCTTTAACATTTCCACGGATCCAATTAAAGCTGCACGATGGACAGGAGTGCAAAGCCACGTCTACAAAAGATACGATAAATCAATCACAATATCACCAACATCTTAAAGAGTCTATTATGAATAGGATAACAACTACTTATGACCTATCTTGTATAAATTAATACCCAAGCCGATCACTACCAGTATTATTTTAATTATTTGATTAGACAATTTCATTATCTCTTTTACTAACATTGCAATAATTCGGATTTGCCCCATACTTTAAAAGTAGACGAAGCGTATTTGCATCACCATCATGTATGGATTGAAAGGTAGAACTCTCCTTAAATCGTATTCTATCCTCATTCTTGTGATATCGTTAACATTAATTTAATAAGAATAGCATTAGTTTAGAGTAGTCTGCTTCCTATTTTTACCCGCAAAAGCTATGCTATCAATCCAGACATTTATTTATAGCAATCATGCTGATTGAAAATATTTTTATCAGTTATGTATCTAAATGTAAAAAATAAAAGTAAATTGGATAGTTCAACGTTTAGGCAATTCAATTCTTGATTCCTTTAAATTACCGTCAGAGGAGCATCAATGTTTTTCTTTAACTGAGCCAATAATTGCTCATTTTTAGTTTTGGCTGCATGATAGACTACATCGCCAGCATTCTGCTGTCCTAGCTTACGATTATTGGTGTTTAAGGTGGCAGATAATGTTCTTGCGCCTAAGAATATAAGTACGGTGATAAATGCTCTTCACTACCAACATACTTCGAAAAATATTAAAATCTTATCTATAATGCCATGCTAGTCTAACTCACGGTTATTCATGGTCAGAGTTCCTGATGAAGTCCTTGTTCCTTGTAGCATAATATGATAGATGCGTATTAATAGGTAAGAGACGATTTATATTTAGAAACTTCTGTTTAAGTAGGCGATATCTATAAAATAGCATTTTCTAGTAAAGTTGCCATCAGCATTACTCTTTGACTGTATGAATGATAGGCAGAAGGCTATTTAATGATATCCATTTAATCTGACGCTATCAGTGACATTAATTATTGACTAAATCAATGAGAAATTAAAAAGATATAGCGATAAATCAATTAAGACTTTAGAATCCTTCGAACTGAAATAGCTATGAAAGACTGTATTTAGTATAAAAGTTTTACAAACAAATATTATTTTATAACTTACTTTCACTCATTCTGCTTCAATCTGACCGAAAAAAATTTTTGCAATCCACCGCGTTATTTAACCCACGAACTTTAATATGCTAAGGTCGTTTCAACTAGTATCCTATGTTCTAATTTTGCTACATTAATCTATCGAAAGCATATTCAAAGTTTCTGATATGCTCTGGCTTGGCGAATTATATCCGATTCATTGAATTAATTGATTCGGAAGACGAGTGAATACTTGGCCATTGACTACAATAACTTTTGCGTGAGAAACGACACGTATTTACAACATATGGTAAAGAGTATTAAGAATCGTCTGAGGGCGTAGTTCTTACGCTCCCTACCATTCGATACGCGTATAATGACTCAGATGCAATATAAGTCTGGTGAGAAAACAAACATAAATAAACATTGTCATCATGATTATGCGCGATAATGCTGAATTCGAACACTTATTCGAAATAGTGGTAACTATCGAAGCATATACAACTCTATAAGTAACGATTGCTATTTAAACTCACACCTGTATCTTGCTTAAGCAATCAGAGTAATGCCATCTATTTAAATCAAGATTCTAATCTGAATGAATTCGCTGAAAATGTATGGTAGAAAACTGTATATTTCTGCCTAGAATATACCTCGTGCACACCTCTATATAAGTGTAAATACGAATTTAAACTCGTACGCCATGATTGCGTATAAGATCTGTTTCTAACTTGGAATTTATACGATGAGCTATAGCAAAAATTAAAAATCATGCTATTAGTTTTAAAAATTGACAACATATACGTATACGGACTTAAGGCGAGAGAGGGATAGATTTAATATTCAAATGCAAGAATTTGCTTCCCAAATAATAATGGTATTGTAATTAAAAATTTTTCTCACTTAAAATGAGAATAGTAAGCTTAGGAAGTTACGCCTAGAAAGGATAAACTTATGAAGAAAAGGAATAGTTCGGTTCATCTTCATATTTGCAGCAGGTTATTCTTCATTACTATACTGAGGATTTAAGTAGGTTAGGTGCAATTATCGATATCGGAAATATATAGTATCATTTGTCTATTCCATGCAGAATACTAGGTTAGTCCTTGTGTCTTAGGCTAGTATGTAGCCTTAATCTGCGTGTTTTTTACCGTAAACCATTAATTCGAGGTTACTGAATAAAATGAATACGAAGAGCAGACATACATAATCCAAATACAGTAGAGCTTTGCTCCCATTTAAAAAAATCCAGCTTAGAAAATCCAATGCTTTTTGCGGAATGACCGTCTAGTGCCGTAGCATTCTAGATAATAGACTTATTTCTGACATAATATTCGTATATCAAACTACATTGGTCTACAATTACACATTCCCATAATACCGCGATGAGAAATTAATAATAATGAGCGTTGTATACATGATTCGGTATGAATTACGAAATCTTATCTTGATATTACAAAAACTGTACGAAAGTGCAAATGATTTTTTATACCAGGTGTTAATCGAGCACTAAGGCAATTCATCTCAATGAATAGCATTATAAGTTACCCTTAAGAAAAAATATTAATCTAATGTTTCGTGAAGCTTTATCAGACCTATACCTTACTTCCGTTATTCAAGTAAACTTAATATACCTAATTAGAATGTCTTACAGTATGAGTATAGGATTTTTACCGGTACTGTCTGCTGTAACCGATAAATTAATCCGTTGTATAAAGATAAATTAGAATATGCATGTAACAATTAAACTGGATACTCACAGAAATAAATGTAATTGCTAGTAGACTATCATTAATATAACTTTCTAGAAACGGACTTTAGCAAATTAGATTAGAGCTAGAATTAGATTTATATACCATTTGCGAGTATATTTATCAAATGTAGTGGCTACATTATAGATATATTTCGATGGCTATTTCGCTGATGAAAGCCTAAAAATATGACGAATACAAAGTGCTCTGTTCTGTGTTAGTGCCATGATCAACATTGATTAACTATACTATAATTATATCTACTTCTACCATCAAAATGTAAAACTAATCTTCCAATTATACAGAATACGATATGTACTAAGACTATTGAAAATTTAGCAGCAGAATCGGTAAAGACATTTCAATGTATAGCGACAGTCAACAAGTACAAGTCCTTGAATAAGGACATTAATGTTTCTTATTGAAGCCGCAAATAGGGCAACTACAATTGTACTAAAATTGCATTCTTTCTATCCCTATAGAATAAATTACTTGTCGTTCTCCTTTGCATGTCTAGCAAATACAGTAGTGTTAATCAGGAAATATTTTAGGCTACAACTACTATATAAGCTATATTAAATATCTTTATTTCCCTTCAGTCCGATTTTTTAAACGTTCAGATTCTAACGACCCCTTCCTTGCACGTAAATAATCACCGAATTGACTAAGAAATATCGAAGTCTATAGACGTAGTAGTCCATGATTGAGTTGTATCCATAGAGATACATTGTCTTTTTACTAATGCTATGCCCTCTCCAAATGTATGGAATACTATACGACTATAATACAATGTCCAAGTCTAGAGCAAATACGGTGCTGCAGTTAGAACAAGAGCATATTATATTCAGAAACAATGCCAGTGTAATGGATTTAATATGAAATCTAGTGTAATTTTAAGGAGACGACTGCTGTAGGCCAATTAGTAATTAAACTTTGCTAAGTGAAGCTTCAGCGAGTTTATTTAATTTACTCCGAAAGGAATATTACAATATTTCTATCGAATCTTTTTTTCATTACTGTCATTTTGTGATATTATTGATCAAGGAATAACGTAAGTAAAATATTATTTTGACATTAGCTATTATCAAGCTAGATTTGAATCATAAATTTTATGTAAATTATTTGGATGCTTATTACGACCACGGACTTTAGTTACTTTTTATACGTAAAGGTTATTAAAGTGACTAGTAACATTCTTGCCATAGTTATTTCTCTGTTACGGTTGGTAAATAGGAACACTTTTTCGGAACTTTGCAATAACATAAAATGCACCTTCAATAATTACGAATCCTTAATTAAATGGGATAATATTTTCTTTTAGTATCTACTGTAAATAATGTAATAATAGCCCCGTAGCATTTATATCCTATGCGAAGATCAATATTGTTAGCGTTCTATCTGGCAAAATTAATAGATAGTATCAGCATTTGCCTGTGTTTTCCTTTGATAATCCACTCTTTATCATTGTAAAGTGTATAAAGGTTATCACAATTTAGCAGTAATTATTTTAATACTAAAAAAGCAATTGAAAGAATAAGATATGACGTGCAATAAGTTATAGGTTTTATTCTGCTATTACTACAGATAAAGGGATTGTTAAGCTGTGTGCCTACAATTAATTTTATTGATAAGACCTATGCAAGTTAATGATGATCATCAAGCGAAACATTAAGTTACCTAACCTCTGATATCTAACTTAATTCAAAGATTTTTGACTTGCAAGTATTTCAACTTGCTAGTATCATGAACGATCTTTAAACTGGTTCAATTATCAAAATTTTGTCTCTATAGCGTACAGTACTATTTCTAGCTACGACGGACTTTTGCTTTCGTATAGTTTAGTAACCTTATAGCTTTAGCCTGAATAGTTCATGACTTATCATTATTTTCGACCAATATGTTGTCTTACCTTCGAGGTGTATCTAGTTAATAATGTCAACAAATTATCGTGTTTGATATTAAAGTCATCAAAATAGCTCAAATACAAGACCTATTACAGTATAATCCACAAAATGAAATGATTTTGTAATCCTTCTTTCTCTATTAAACAGTTTCCGGACTATCAAGATGAGTGGTCATGTGGGAGATTTAAGCTTAGAACAGCAAAAAGCCTTAAATCAAGTAAGATTATTAGGTCATGAAAATGCTTAGAATTCTATTTATCTTAAAATACATACGTTCTAGGTTGAATTTCATTCATATAAGATGTAATTAACATTGGTAACACAACAGAGTTTTAGTAGTAAATTCCTACATGTAATAACGTCGTTGTCGATATGATCTGTAAACTAATTTGAGATGTACTGAGTAGCAATTTACTACCGTAATAAGCTATTTCGAGACGTTAATTACCGGAGACGAAGCTTAATTAGAGTGCCTTACCTATCCAATTGCTGTTTCATCGATGTCATATTTCCTTTTATTTGAGGCTTTGTTGATTTCTTTAGTACCACATTACTAATTTAACATCACTTTCTCTACAAACGTAATTTGAGTAGCTTCGCAACAATGTAGCCAATATCCTACCACAGGAAGAACTTAGTGATGATTATTTCTTGCTAAGATGGCTTAGAGGTGAGTATTAATGCAATCTAAAGGCTATAAAAATGAAATTGATGCAATAATAGTAATAGTACTATTGAAAACTATTATAGCATATATTTTGTAAATGAGGCAGTAAATTTAATAAAGTGTGAAAACGATCATCGACGGTACTTTAACGTTTATTAAAATTATTAGCACAGATTTTACGGATCGATGTACTTAGTATTTCTTCTTTTATTTTTACTATCAGCTCGGGATTTTGACTTACAAAAATCAGAGCAAATGCTCAGACGGGTAAATTTTGCAGTTATAAATAAGTTAAGGTCGTTGATAGTAGTAACTCAAGGACAAAATCACCATAAACGATTTGATTTTACAGAATTGTCGATTTCGTAAGGAATGGAAAATTGAAAAGCTTGTAAAAGAGGACAATATTCCGGAGGTGATTCGTATTTTGTTGCATCATACTGATATCATTTCTTTCCTTATCCTAACATTATACCTATCTATGATAGCTAACTTGATATAAATAATGATGAAAATCTATAATTATTTGAATACCATAAAATAAAAATAATGCATTTTACTTTTCTATGATCCTATTTGAAAAATAGCTTTGGCGAAAATACTATCCTGGGGGATATATAGGAAATGATAAAGAAGGGGCACCAGTATTCTTTGTGAACTTTGGCAGATTCGATCCTAAAGGTCAGAGATATACTCATACTAATTAGTTTTTAGCTGTAGCAGGCGTAATTGAAAGGATTATTACCTTGTAGAATAGATGATCTAGATATGCTATTCTACAAGGATAGGCTAGTTTGTCTTTATTCAACTGAAAAAGGGCTGATTACTCACTAATTACGTTAAATTCCCTATTTAGGTATGCATAATTGTTTTCGTCCGGAAGAATTGATCAAATATTCCCTGTCCCACACAGAAGAAGGCATGCAACGGTGTCGAGAGCAAAGTAAATTGGTAATAATCTAATCAAGTAGGCATTAAATCTCTTCCTATTAATATGCCTACAAGAAGTTGAAGTTAATTTTGCATTCTATTAGCTGAAATTGCTTACAGTGATATTTTCTAATTAGATTAATAGATGAATAGTGAAAATACAATTATTGAAGATTTTCTCTGTATTGTTACGTTACTGATAACTCAAGACAAATGTATTTATGTACGTATAATTTGATTTATTTTTAGCTTGGCAGGAGAATAGAAGGTGTAACAGTTATTCAAGACTTGAATGAGTTATCTTTAAGTAACTTTCATAGACCAAGTTAGTCATAGCTATAAGAGCATGTGAAACCAGTACCAATCCTATCTGTACTAGGTTATTTTTGACAATTAATGTTCTTTTTTACCTTTTACTATAAGCTATACCTCATTTTATTAAGGTTAGTTTTAATTACCTTGTGCTATTTCTCAGTCGATGCATCCGTGTTACAAATAGAAGCTGTCACTGTATCAACATCTTAATAAGTAAAGAAAACTGTCTACTAGGTGATGCAATTATTCGAAGATAATTATCCAGAATTCTTGAAACGTGCCTTGATCGTTAATGGTAAGTGACTGCGTCTATGAAGTAAATTAACAATGTGGTATGGGAAAATTCTTTATTTTTTTAATACGATATCTATGATATTATACAGATAAGTAACTCTATTAAACCGATTAACACATTTGATTGTTATCCACCTTTTAGCACCTCGAATATTCTATTTCATGTTTGCCGTAATTAAGCCATTCCTTAGTCAGAAAACAAAAGATAAAATGCGGATTTTAGGATGTACTGTTAATTTTGGGCATAACTTCTGCTTTTACAGACAAGTGTGACTATGTAATCAATGGTAGATTATCTAATCAGTTTAAATTTTCTCTGATTTTATTCAGCAAATTATCAGCAAGTTTTATTAGAATATGTCGATAGAGATACAATACCCAAGGCCCTTGGGGGTAATCTTGTGGATGAAAATGGCGATCCACATTGCTCAGCTATTGTTTGTACCTGCAATACTTGACTCTTAATTGATTATAAATAATATTATATTAAATCAAGGAAAGTGATGTCAACATATTTTGGTTATTAATGGCAAGGTTGGACACGGAGGAAAAATTCCTGAATCGTACTATCATTCTGAGTTAGTCAAAAGTAATGAGCGTCCATTAGGTGACTATTCATCAGTGGTTATTGCTAGAGCAGATTGCTTACAATTAAAATACGAAATCGAAACTCCTGGCACACTAATAAAGTAAGTTTGATATAGTACATTAGCTAAATATTTATGTAACTAGATATAGACGTCTTAAGGAGGCGTTGAAGACTGTACTATAGACTTTAAAATAAAAGATTATACTAACTCATCGTTTTTTAAATTTTATAAATAACAGTTTTTATTCAGTGACTAATTAATTATACTAAGATTAGCGGTCTCATAATAATATTATAATTCCTTATTTAACCCTGGTAATCAATCAGATGGGAATTCAAAACAGATCATCATAATATTGCTTTTGGTGTTATAAAATTAATCGAAAATGAAGACGGAACCGTTGAATACTATGAAGTGGTGAGTTAATATGATAAGTATGTTAGGAATTACCGATCAAAAAGCCTTAAATTTCAACTTACAATATCAATAACCTACATGTAGCTAAATAATTGCATTTAAAAATTATAACTTTAAAGATTCCCGTTACCCGGCGCAACTGTCAACTTGTAGCAGAAGAAGGCGATTATGTTTGTGAAGATCCTGGTACATGTATGTAACTATTTTACAATCCAATTAATTTCGGAAATTTTATAAATTAAGTGAATCTTTACTGCGTAAGTTAAGACGAATTCGTCGCTATGATCATTATAATTCAATTAATAGCATGATTCTTCGTTTTCTTGAATAGTTGGTATATTGAAATATATGCCAAATAAAATCACATTTTCAAAGGAATACTCTAACTAATATTACATATAAAACGCCTTTTACTAGATATCTTGAAATTCGATAACAGTTTTAGCTGGATCAACAGCAAAAACTTGCAATATATCGTCGAGGTCTTATCACCTGATGAAAATATGATGAATAGAATAGGAACGAATGTAAGATTTCCTTGATAAAGAAAGAGCTAAATTAATAAATTTGACCATAACCACTTATATTTAACTTAAATCCTTATAATCACCATAATTGCAGGTGTAGATTCTATCCTTCTTATTACACGATAGCTGAACAAACAAGGTTTCGCTACTTCTTACTCAAGCATAATAAATCCTTGGCAATAATTACGGTACGAACTGTAATAAAAGTTTCAATGGATATGATTGTACATACTTACACCGCATCAGTATCATTTCTGTGTTTTGATTGAGAGATTGTTAGAGTTACTTTTTATAAATCAATATGTTTCATTAAAGCGATATTTTAGCGGTAGCTATATCGATAATCTACTAAAAAGGAATAGGTGTAAAATTGCATCGATTATCGTAGCCATAATTACGTGATAAGATCATAATATGCTTAACAGTATTTCACTATTCTCGATTATAAATTTTGTGAAATATCGTATTAGGAATAAAGAGATAAATGACGTATAATACCATGATTTAGTTCGTGGGATCTGACCGTGAGTGTGCCTTGTGTTACTTAACTCATTGATTTGGTCTAACCACTCTAATTAGGATAACGATTTCTAATAAGGTTTAATCTATGCATTTGTATTGGTTTGTGGATATGTTATAGTATCAGTATACTAATTTCTTCCACTATATTGGTTTTCATTGGTCTTATTTGTGCGTTCTATTTCAAGTTCATCTATTCCATAATCTCTTCTTTTAACTCTATGACTATGCATTAAAAAATAATAAAAGATAGTTCAGACTACTGCACTGTATGGTGTACAGTATTCGCGTTTCCTAAATTTATTTTACCCTTATCTAATACCGAGTGACTTTATAGGAGCTTTCAAGCTAAGAATCTAATTTATATACTGCATTATCAATATGACGGTATAAATAACTGATGATCATCTACTATACTCGTATAGTAAGTGGATATACAGTATAGAATAGAGTATTAAGTAAATGATGATCTCAAGATCTTCCGTATTAATCCTTTCCCATCAGGAGTAAAGTCAAAAATTTCTATTGACAGTTGGTATTGATATAACATTGAATTCAGCTTTGGGATGGATGTAAGAGATAGAATGTGCTCATTAAACATGACTTATATCACTCTATAATCCAATAACGAGTAATTCATTATAGGGGTTTAAAATCAAGAATCTACTTTATATACTGTATTTTCAATATGATGGTATAAGTAACCGTTGATTATCTGATATATAGTAACAAGATGCAGCTATAGAATGCTGCTTTTACTGCAGTATACTTTACAGTATACAAAAGTAGATTACGATTTGAAGATCATCCTTACTAGTCCTTCTCCATCAGGATGAAGGTAAAAAATTTTACTGGTATCTAGCAATGATGCAACAATGGATGCATCATGCAGCTCTGTACCGGATAAGGGCTTCTAAATCATGAATCTGATTTATACACTGCAATATGGCTATACAAACAATATAACTGATGGCCATCTACTATACTCGTGTGGTTTGTAGATGCAAAGTATAGGATACTGCTTTTACAGTAGCAAATGTAACAGTATGCAAAATTAAATGGCGATTTGAAGATTTAGGCTACTAATCCTTCCCCGACTGGATCAAGATCAAAAGTTTCACTGGTATTTGGTAATAATATAACATTGAATGCAGCTCTTGAAACGGACGGAAGCGATAGAAAATGTTCATTAAACATGACGTTATTGTTGATCAGATCTATCTCGTGACCCTGCAAGGATATCATAATAGTACTTTTAATTGATCAACCCAACTCGTGACCAAAGTATGAGCTTTCAAAGTTTCTAAATTTTTGTGACGTGTCATGTTTAACGAGGAGTTGGCATGTAATAAGTAGCTTTAAACTCTTTAGAAGAGTAGAATTTGGGCAGTGTTTCGTGAAACAATACAGTTTTAAGTCCCGTATGGCAGGTATACAACACTAAAAGCAGATATAAATAAGGATGGGTAACAATCTGTTGATTCCTTACTGCAAGCACATTTAATCTGGCATCTCGAAACTGTCTGTCATCAATCTGAAAGCAGCTGTAAACTATTACCTCCGTCGTTACCTTAAGAACTGGCATTGTCCTATTAACATAAACGCCTTTGACCTATCCTTCGGTTTTGGTTTAAAGTACTACGAGAAATTAAGTTTTGTACTGCTGCAATTGAGTCGCGGCAGATTTAGCCTGAAACTGATCATTTTCCGTTAAGTAAATCCATCTAAAGGTAAAATGAGCAATTGTTGATTTCACGAACAATTTTGACTTGCTTATTTTTTATCCGTCTTAAGAGGCAGATGAAAGCTTACGACCTACTTGCATTATACTTACTATACATCTACGAAAAATGTAGTCGTAGTGTCAGTCAATCATAATCAATTGCAGGAATGTTACTAAATTGATACGAATTGGGACTTTATTGAGGATGCCAGATTAGTTCTACTAATTTTCGTTAGCAAATTGGTTTAAGCAATAGAAATAAGGCTGTGGTTACTTACCATAGAATAATATTATCAGTTGCAACAAATTGCAATCGAATTAGTTCAAATTTAAATTAGGAACACAGTAGGCAGGATTTAAGTGATTGAAAGTACCATAGCAGTCACATTTAAGTAAGGTATCTTACTGTATATTCAATTAATATCACACTTGCTAAATATTGGAGCCCGATTAACTGTAATATTAATAATTGTATTATAATTAATTCAGTAATTCGCTTTAAATTAAATCTAAGAGTCCTATTACTAATTGAGTTGTTATTCGCAATCTAGAGTAGAAAATGAGTGGCTGCGTCGGAAACCTAAGTGCACAACAAGAAGAAACATTAAATACAGTAAATATTATGATTATTTAGTGTCAATCATAAATTTTACCAAAGTTTTATCAAGAAAACTACCGATACTATGAATCTTGTAGCTATCTAGATATGCCTAGATATGGCTTTCAAATGTGTCTGATTAATTTAAGTAGTCTTTAGCAAATGTTTCAGCCTAAAATTTTAATATCTTGACATCTTTAATCAATATTACGACTGCAATATTTCTAGAAAATATTCCGATTACTCATATATTTCTGCTATATAGCTTTCATTTTCATTTTTTATTACTGTTTATATATATATATATATATATGTTACAGCAAATAGCTTTCTCTAAAACTGTTTATTTCACTATTTCAAATAGTTTCGTTCTAAATTTACCGACATCTTGCCATCAGAAGAACTCAATGATGATTATTTCCTGCTAAGATGGCTAAGAGGTAAGAATGAATGATATATTGCAAGATTTACATGTACAACTTCAACTGCTGAAGTTTCGCCTTTTACACTTTAGTAGAAAATATTACTATTACTATACAGAATTTGACATGTAATTTTTGGATATAAAGGAGTCGTTTCTGATTTGTTTGGTATTTACGATACCTCTAGTACAGCATATAATCGGCCAATCATATTCTCTGATGACTACCTTATGCCCCTGAGACATATACAGCTATATTCTAACGATATTGTATGTATTTCCAATCGAATGCTAGCGCGAAACTTCGATTTGCAAAAATCGGAACAAATGTTAAAGCAGGTACCGTGTATCTGTATACTATTTGTAGTCATAACGAATTTAATTATGATAACGTACATGCCCACACGTACATATAATCTCTTGCAGCATTGCCGATTTCGTAAGGAATGGAAAATTGATAAACTGGTCGCGGAAGACGACTTGCCTGAGGTAACAATACTGTTGTACTTTATTGTTGTATTCATATAGTCTAAAATTAGCTGTATAACATTATCAATTATTGCAATCAATGAGGGAGCTAAAGGTGAACTAGATGAGATCATTTTCATACTTTTAGAAGCAATAACATTTCAAATAATAAATTATAGTTTTGGCGCAATTACTATCCTGGAAATTACATAGGATACGATAAAGATGGAGCGCCTTTATTCTATGTTAATGTAGGCAAGTTTGATGTGAAAGGTTAGACATGTCTATGAAATGTACGACGAGATAATTTAATTATATCTAGAAAAAAATTTACCTTTACAACTGTGACAAACAGCAATTTTCTTGTGTATCATTATCGATTTTAGGTCTATATTTATCCTTGAAGTCCGAGGAATTAACAAAATACACCTTAGCAGTGCCGGAAAAAGGCATGCAATTATGTGCCGAACAGAGCAAGAAGGTACGAGCTGATAGTAATTTATTAAACAAATTCATTGTAGTTCAAATGACTACTATTAGTCAGCTATATTTTCCTGTAAGAGAAGGTACGAACATTGTGTGCATTACTTTATTCTCATCTTAGCTCGGAAAAAGAGTAGAAGGTGTAACAATTATTGAAAATATGGCCGATATGCAGTTGACCGGATTTTATAGACCAGGCAAAACTTTTAAACATAGTCTATTTGCTCTGTAATTTATCGAAACTTGGTCTAGAGTTGTTTCATAGTTAATTGTAAAGATTAACGTGCTAATCTTTTAATTTATCCATTGTAGCGATAGCCTACTTTACCAAGGTAGATAATTTACTATTAAATACCACAGCTGAGCTACCACTTAGCAAAAGAAGAACTTGTGATCAAATTTATAGTTATTTGTTGAACACATTTTGATAATAAATCGTATTGATATTCTTCGTAGGTGTTAGGAATCCTAGAAGACAATTATCCAGAATTCATGAAACATGTTTTTGTCGTTAATGGTATAATGATATACTGTTACATGATGGCATATTTATAGAAAGTGCTCAAATAATACAATCTTTTTTAGAAATGTGTACGAGTGTATTATTTCAACCTATTTAATACGGTATACATTCGTTTCAAGTTATTCGATATACACTAATTTTTATTTCTGCTCATTTACATATAGCTCCACGAATTTTTTACATCATGTTCTCCATCATAAAGCCCTTTCTTAGCCAGAAAACGAAAGAAAAAATGCGAATTTTAGGATGTAATTATGATCATTTTTATTCATTTGAACAGCTTCAATTTATAATAGGTGTAATCTTTACTGCCTTCAAATGACATATTGAAATGGATTACCATTACGATGGTTCTATCTAGCTAATTATGCTCAAGTACTCATGGAATATGTTGATAAAGACGTTATACCGAAAGCTGTAGGCGGTAATCTTGTCGATGAAAACGGCGATCCAAATTGCATTGCGATGGTTAGTGTTTTTTATGATCATTACGCTAGTTTTGCTAATTTCTTATTTGATGCCTTAACAGAGATCTTAAATACATATTCTGTCATTTTTGGCATCACAATTACTTAATGAAATAGATTGGACATGGCGGTGAAGTTCCAATATCTTATTATCGCTCTGAGCTGCTTAAAGAATCTGCTCACCCTTTAGAAGACTTTACATCAGTAGTCATTGCTCGAGGAGACTCATTAAAATTAAATTACGATATTGAAGATTCCGGTACTCTTTTAAAGTAAGCTTAAACTCTATGATATTTCTTCAAGCGTTAATAGCTCACCTTCATATACTGGCATGGAATGCTGATGTTTTTTCACTTCTGTTCTATTCCATCCATAGATGGGAATTTAAAACGGAGTATCGTAATATCGGATTTGGTGTTATAAAAGTGATTAAGAGCGATGATGGAAGTGAAGAAAATTACGAAGTGGTAAGAATAAAGGATGTACATGTATTCTGATATATCTAAAACGGTTTAGATATCATTCTATGTCAGTTTCAAGCAAAGATTACTATTAATTCATTTAATTGTACTACTTTAAAATTTGTACCAAGATTCCTGTTATGCGAAGAAACTGTCAAATTGTACTGGAAGAAGGTAGTTACCTATGCGAAGATCCTGGAACGTGTAAGTAACTTTTATTTTAAATATACGCGTCCTGAATCCAGTTACCAAACTTTATTAGCACATATCCTCATAAGTAGATTAAATCACTATAGTTATATACGTAGTATTTTGAAAACATTTGTGTAGCCGTAATAGATACTATATATGAAAGATGATGCAATTAAAATCAAGTATTTATTTATATTTTAGATATTTTGCATTTCGATAATAGCTTCAGTTGGATTAGGAGCAAAAATTTGCACTACATTATCGAAGTTGTACCAGCAGATAAAACTATGCCTGAGAAACTAGATACGGACTCTCCATTAGATAAGGCAACTGTCAATGGAAATAGTGACCAAAATTAATTAATCATGGATTCATTTTTTGGCATTACAAGAATAAAAAGTCAGGAGCAATTTAGTATGTTGTAACTATTAGGGAATACAAGATAAATTTTCATTTTGTGCGCCTCATATAAAAATACGAAATTACTATGCAATAGCAATCAGTATTCTCCTTAGGTAGGATGCTAGACGATAGGCTGCATTAATTGATGTCAATACTTTGTAGCATACGGTACCAAATTTAAAGAGGAATATTAATAGATCAGTTATAGCAGGATTATATGTAATCAAATAAATTTATGTTCATTTATATGATAAGTAACTCGCTACTTTTCAGATTTCATGTAATTAATTTCGTAAACTCAAGCGCAGTGTTTTATTTTTACTCGAAGGCATAATTAAAGCTATATTTCCTTATTTCCATTGACTATGAGAAGGATGTTCCACGCGTTATTTGTAATCACTTATACCCTCTATTTTCTATTAGTATAGCCTGTAATATCAGTATTGGTTTATTTTTTTATGTATAATTACGTTAAAAAACTCATGAAGATACAAATATCTGTGTCGCTGCTTCTGACTATGAACTATGAAAATAATTTACCAGATTAGCAATTATTCACTGTATAGTGCGGGCATGAGTTTCTTCATTGCTATCCAATAGCTGGATACGCCCCTTAGCAAGGATAAGATATTTCAATTATCATTGGTTAACATTAACGAGTCCGCGATATTTTTCTGCTTCATTTAACTAGTCTCTGTTATAAAAAATTGCAACTAGTCTGTAACCTATTTAAATACAGAGATCGATTAAGGCTATAACGTACCGATCGCGTTAAATACAGTATAGTCGATAAATAAATACTTGTTATTTTAAATACATAAATTTCTCTTATTCATTGGTTGAAATCATTGCATGTTCAGTATTGCAAAGTGCATTGATTTCTAGCTCGAATAACATAGGTATTCAAAGTGTGTCAATGAGAGACGAAATAAGCAGAAAATGAGGTCCCCGTCTATTCATAGGAACATGCACAGAATAGCATCAAGAACTTTTTCAATATTTTGTTGGTAGTAGTAAAATTTTATTCCAAAGCACTTCACTGCAATAAAAGAATGATAGAGATGCAACTTTGCTACGCTTGATTTTTGTTAATACAGAGACAGCTAATTAAATTAAATTAATGTTACGGCCAATGTTAATATAATATATAATATAATATATAATTAATATAATTAATGGATAGTAGTCTGAATACGCACTCCATACTGTACTGTACAGTACGGTGCAGTACCGTACCGTACAGTGTACAGTGTACAGTATGATTGCGACGTACTGTACTGTACCTCGTGACCACTGAATGAGCTTTCAAGACTTTCAGTCCTTATTAGAGTCCCTTGCGCAATACGGTAAGCCATGACGTCATCGTAACATTCATACTAAACACCGTACTGTACTTTAGAAAAGTCAGCGAGAGAGGTGCCCGCCCTTCTGTTTACAAACGGTGGAATTGTTGCTGCAAGAGCTGTAGAGGTCTCTTCCATTTCCTATCTTTGTGATCTGGAAACAACTGCCAAGTTAATTATTTCCATCACCTTTGTATCTACTGATATTGCGTATTTATATCATCAAGGCGTTATCTCCTCGCCCTGTCTTGCAAATTGAACATAGAGCAATCCAACTCTGGGTTGAGTTTTCTTTCCTCAGGAAGGATCGAATTTTTTTCCATTCAATAGTGCTGGTCATATTCCGTTCCAAGCTGAATCAAACGCTTGCTGAACTTAACCTAATTTGGACTGATTTACCCAAAGGCGCCTAGCCTCAAGAGCGAACGTAAGCTTACCATCGACTTATATTGTAGGAAATCAAGGGTGTTTATTGTACGTATTTGGCTAGAAAATTGACCATCTTACAAAATGTAGATTGTGCCGCATACTTGATTTATGGTACAGAACTGAATATTCGTAGATTGTCGGCTATCTTACAAAATGCAGATTGCATACAATACTTTAGCTTAGTACAGTACTGAATAGTGGTAATATAGAATTTTCAACTGTTGTTTATTGAGAAAATGGAGGATCTCAGGATCAGACTGATCCAGTATAGATTTAGGCCATTGTTATAAATCGAGATTCGTAACGTGGTAATCTCGCATCAAAGAGACTACACTTGTCTTCGTCCAGACTTTTATCCGGTTCTTCTACTCTTTATCGTAGCATCCACTCTATCTTCTCCAAGTATACAATATATTACTATTTATATCTACTAAGCATGCACACCAACTAGAACAGATTTAGGTAACATGAGCCAATAGTAGGACGACAACTCAGCTAAAATGTTACAAATAAGATTATGCAATTATTCAGTCTAAGATCATTAATAGTATAAAATAAAATATACAAAGATTAGTAAGAAACATAGCTCAGAGATTTATTACAGTATGTTATGTACATAACAGCTATCTAAAATGTATCACTGATACATCATCATGTCTGCGAAGCATTATGTATAGCCTTTATCAGCTAAGGAAATAGCATCATGTCTTGTTATTTATCATTTCAATGAATGGTAACGTTGTTTTTGAAAATAAGAAGCATGAAACTAATTTACTGTATGCAGAAAGAAGGAGTAATTATTAAGGTAGTGCTGAACTGAATATTTAATTCAACATTTTCTTATGCAACTAGCTCAAAAAGATGAGTGGTCATGTTGGTAACCTAAGTCTACAGCAACAAGAAGCATTAAATAAAGTAAATTATTCTCGAACGACTCAAGATGCTATTGATCTTTACAATTTTCGCGATTTTCTATCGATAAGTTATATAGTTAATGATTGGGCTATACTATATGTTATGGAATGTATTCATGTTTTCATATGGCCTATATCACTTAGCGTTGACTAAAATCGAAAATATCAATAGACGTCACATTCATTGAACATAAATATTAACTACTTGTGTAGTTTCGCCTCAGATTCACCAATATCTTGCCACCAGAAGAGCTAGATGACGATTACTTCTTGCTGAGATGGCTGAGAGGTCAGGATTCAAGACTACATACTTGTCAAAATATCAGCTATTGAAATTTACAAACATGTTATCTAATAGATCTAAAAGCGATTTTTCTGCAGTTAGAGTCTACGTTTGCATTTCCAACTTCTTAATCATCAATTACTGTAAAATTTGTTACTAATCGAATACTTAACCAATGTACTATTAATATCTAAAGTCAACAATTAGCCATAATTATGTAGCATGCCAAACCTACACTGTAAGCGGTATCTATAAATAGACTTCCAATTAATTTTAGCCCGAGATTTCAATTTACAAAAATCAGAAGAAATGCTAAAGAAGGTATGTTATAGTATACACTAGACTTCTTTATTTCAACTGTGAATACGTATACTTAGCTAAATTTTAACTTGGTAATTAAGGTATTACCAGGGACTCCCAAAAAATAAAGAGAGGACTGGAAGACACTTCCAGTACGAAATAATATGGAGGCTGATCATTTTTCCAGTCATTCTATTATATGGTATCAATGAAACCTTATGCCCATACTGCTCTAGCTAACTTAGCAGCAGTTTGCAGCTAATTTGGATGCGAATAGTGGATAGTATAGTGTACCACTGTAGACATGCGATACAGTTGAAATGGCAGTAAAATAATCAGCCTCCACATTATTAGTATAATGAACGACCGTTTCCTATCCCCTCTTTCTCTTTAGTAGTTCCTGGTATTATTTTGCTGGCGTTTATAAATTTAATATTAATATGCTATAAGCGTATGTTGCGATATAGCCGAATTTGTATATTATAATGATCTACTGTGATTTACTTGTGCAAATGTGATAACTAACGTACACATGCATAACTTTGCAGAATTGTCGATTTCGTAAAGAATGGAAGATTGATAGATTAGTCGCAGAGGACAATGTTCCTGAGGTAAGAGTTTTCTTTGCTAGTTGCATTATCCTATAAACTGATAAGCGAACAATACGGTACATTGGCAAGCACCATCACTTGTTATTGAAGATAATGTGGTTTAAACTAGAATGGATTCAACATAGTAATCTAACGCGAGTATTTTCTCTGCGTTATAGCTTTGGCGTACCTACTATCCTGGAGATTATATAGGATATGATAAAGATGAAGCACCCATATTCTTGCTAAATATTGGCAAATTTGATGTTAAAGGTCAGCTGCTCTTGTGAATTACATGGATAAGTTAATAAATTATTTTCTGTAGCTTATTATAACATCGTGATTGTAAAACGAGTAATAATCTTAATATGAACGTCGTTACCGATTAAATTACAGGCGTCTTTTTATCTATGAAAGCAGACGAAATAACTAAACATGCTTTAGCGGTAGCGGAAAAAGGCATGCAGTTATGTGAACGGCAGAGCAAAAAGGTAACGAATTGCTAGATTGGGTTTTGCAGAAATTATGCCTTCGTTATAAGTTAGCTATACTGTATTAATATCTTATCAAATTGATTTGCAAATGCTGCTGGTTCATAACTTTATCCTTTGCTTAGCTTGGAAAAAGAATAGAAGGTGTAACAGTTATTGAAGATATGGCAGGCATGCCTATGACTGGATTTTATAAACCAGGTGGGGTAGAAAATAAAACGTAATTTAATGTACGATTTTAACCCATCTTTTTCTAATTTGATTCTTTAACTTTTAGCAATAGCCCACTTTACTAAGGTAGATAAATGCTGTATGGAATATCACAAACTGAGCTTGCACTGAGTACAATGTGTAATCATACATAGTAGTCTATTCAAAACTTTTTGTATTAAAGCATGTTAAATTTTACGCAAGTAATGAAGATAACATTCTTTATAGGTGTTAGGAATGTTTGAGGATAACTATCCGGAATTTATGAAACATGCCTTTATCATTAACGGTACGTATAATCCTAAGTGCTAACTTTTTTCAATAAAGCAAACTCATATGACTGTGTGTATTTACTGCGCCATATTTATTCCGAAAAACTTGACAAGAACGATTTTATGCTTCTGTCTACTTTATGATCGTAGCTCCACGAATTTTCTATATCATGTTTGCAATCATGAAACCGTTCCTTAGCCAGAAAACGAAAGAAAAAATGAAAGTTTTGGGATGTAATGACACTATTTAGTTGATCTTAAGCATTCTAAAGCTCAGCAACTTTTGCAAATTTCTTACCTCTACTAATAACATGTTTTAAAATTGATTACCACTATAATTGTGGACCTTAGCTGATCATCTGCAAATACTTGAGCAATACGTCGATAAGGATTTCATTCCCAAAGCTCTTGGCGGTAATCTTACCGATGAAAATGGCGATCCACATTGCTCTGCAATAGTTAGTGCTTACTTATTGCCTCTATTTGCAGTAGTACCTTAATAAACCAATACCTATTTAGTCAAGAAGAGATCTCAGCTATGCTGCTATTTTTGGTACTATCAATTGAGTAGGTTGGATCCGGTGGCAATGTCCCACGGTCTCTTTATCGCTCTGAACTAATTAAAGAATCTGCCCGCCCTTTGGACGATTATTCTTCGGTAGTAATTGCTAGAGGGGATTCTTTAAAATTAAATTACAATATTGAAACTTCTGGTGCGTTATTAAAGTAAGCTTCAGAGTAACGGTTCGCTTTGTGCCTAATTCCATACTTTATTTCCTTATTATTAGTGATCGTAGTATCATATGTGGAAAAGCAGTATAATTTAATAATTCCAAATTAGATTCGCTCTATTATAAAGACGGCTAGATAGCAATGTGATACAAATACAATGTGTTTTCTCATCCTTCCTGTTTGCCATTAGATGGGAATTTAAAACAGACTATTACAACATTGGATTCGGTGTTATAAAGGTATTTAGAAATGATGATGGAAGTGAAGAAAATTACGAAGTGGTAAGAATCAAAATCACACGTTCGAAATAATTCTACAACGTATCGAGCTGCCATGCATTAAAATTTCAGTAAGAGCTAATATGAACACTTTTCGTTACAAAATTATTACTTGGTAATCATAATCAAGATTCCCGTTATAAGACGTAATTGTCAAATCGTAATCGAAGAGGGCAGTTACCTTTGTGAAGATCCTGGTACATGTATGTATATATTTCATGAACTTGTTCTTAGCTGCTGTTGATTTAATTTTATTGTACTTATTCCGTAATTAACAAAAGTCGTTGTTATTGTTGCGTACAAACGTCCTTTTGTCTTTGAAAATAATTTACGTTCATACACACTAGATATCCTGCATTTCGACAACAGCTTTAGTTGGATAACGAGCAAAAAATTGTATTACATCATTGAAGTTTTGCCACCGGATGAAGCCGTACCGAACAACTTTGATATAGAATTAAACAATTCTTTATCCGATAAGCCAATAGTGAATGAAAATGGCGAATAAAACTAATAAGCGATTTATACCTATTTCGAAATTGTAATATTAAAATAGAATCAGCCCTTTATGTTGCATTATTGAAACGAGCAGTGGCTACAGAAATGCCAATAGCTGTATTAATCTTTGTAGTCTGGAAATCAGGATAATAGATCTACAAAGCAAATCAGTTGATATTGACTGAGGAATGTTTTCTACAAACTAAGTTTCAAGAATCGAGTGGCTTAATCGTTAAATATGCGATTGTCACGGTACGCCGTTACTAATTAAGTAACTGTAAATTAATGAATGCTTATGAATAGATAAGATAAGGTTATGTGCTATGTTTTAATGCGCTTGTAGCTGATAATAGGATGGTAGAAATGAGATAAAAATAGAAGTTGTTAGCAGTTAATTTACTGTAGGTTTATAAGGTGTGTTAATCTCTAAAAATTGAGCTGTATATGGACGAAGGTTAAGCGTCTTAACACCTGATAGCTTGTAGCGATCTAAGTCTGAGCATATCGACATGTATATTTAGTAATGGTATTATACTAATTAATGTAACTTGTAAAGCATGAATTCTCACTCGTTAATATTGGAATTCACTGTAGAAACCTAATTAAGCGCGTGTGTTTGTAGAATAAAGTAAGTAATTGCTCAAGAAACGGCAAGACTCATATCGTGAAGAATAGTGTAATAATTAGTCAGTTGTCCGTGGAGATCAGCCGAGGAATCGAGTTCTCAAATACTTCTCTCATAGAAACTGAAAGTACTGGGAGAAATAGCCCAAGTTTTAAGTAACTACACTAGAGTTCTTTACTTTCCTTTGCCACAAGTGAGGGTTGTGACAGCGATATAATTATGAGCGTTTAAGAATATTCATATCGTAATCTGTAACTATTTCGTACCGAAATAGTTTCAGAGAATACGGATGCTATCGGTACTTTGCTTGTATTCAAAGACCTATGTACGGTCACGTTTTCTTCCTTGTTACAGCGTTGTATAATATTTTTTATTATTGCGTAAATACTCTTGAATGAATTACAGTATTATCAATAGACTATTAAATTAATTCTTTAGTGTAGTTTATAGTTAGCAAAATGGACTACATATAAATATTTTATATCCATGATTCAAAATATGATAGCAAATGATTAGACGAGCTATGATTTCACGTATAAAGTGTTCATTAATATAGGCGGTTACTTAAACATATCAATTTGTACTTTATGAGAGAGTTTTTTTTACTTCTATATCGACGTAATCACAGGCTATTAAAACATTATATTGCCGGTTTAAAAACTGCAATGGAGTATTTGTATTAACGATAGATAAGCAGGTTATTATAGTTCAAAACTTTTAGAAGTACTTGTTTACTGGTTAAAAGTGTATGCTTGGGTATACTTGTCATTTACATGATCTAGTAGTTTGTAGTAAAATTTGACATGATACTTTTTAGGCTATTTTATGATTGAATGAACTCTGAACTACTATCCTGGCAGACTAAGTTCAACTTTGACTGTAAATAATCGATCTATAAGATGTATTTGTGATTGCTCGGAACTCTGTTATTCTGTAATTAATTCGCTAGTAGGAGTTTCAGACTACGGAACAGACCATGGCGGTTACAACAACGATTCACTCCCAATTATTACAGTCTTTTCGTATAGCGTAGCGATATAGGCAAATATGCAATATTACCCATACGTATTTGGACTACCAATTACCAATTTTGGATGGAGAAAACGGTTCGTATTGTCTCCGGTATACTGTACATATTCATAGATCCTTCGAACTGTACTGCTACATAACATAGTCGGGATACGCTATGTCCTCCCTTTTCCATCTGTCTATAAACTTCGCTCATATGCTATCGTTGAGCTGTACTGTAAAGGTGTAAATTATTCAAACCATAGTTAGAAAATAGAAGAAACAACGGCTTATTGATTGATTCGAATGTATGTCCAAGTAATTGCATAATATCGTATTTAGTGTAGTACAGAGTGGCATATACATTGATCGCCTTTGTTGGATTGACCATTGCAATTGTAGAGAAAGAATATAGCCTATTTGGCATTACAATGCATTCTTGTCGAATATACGAGATACTGTAATACAATCGCTATTCTCATAAGCATTTACTATCGAATAATAGTGCTGTCAAAGCCATTATAAGATTGATCATATATACGTCAAAGTCTATCACAATATATATGGCGTTATTATTGCAAGAATCTAAGATTGGATAAAAGCCCTCTTGAACGTTCCATTGATTGTGATTCTATTACGCCCAACTTGACAGAATTATTGATCGATTTATTTGCAGCGTCGACATCATCTTGAAGGAACATGTAAGTCAACGCTTAGAAGAAACTAGTGAACATGAATACTTCTTGTCAACAACAAGCCCATATATTTTTTTCTCTCAGTGGATCTTCATCTCTTTAATCAACTAAGTTTTTACGTTCAAGTTTCTATGATAGTAGCGGCAAAAATAAATTCACTTTTCGATTCATAGTTATTTAGTCTAGAAGCAAAATGGATCGTCTTGACTGATTGAACGAGTACTTTAATATCATTAACGAATGGTTACCATATTGAAAATGAATCGTTGGCCTATATCCAATCGGTCAAGAGAATTGTTGATCATCAGTATCGTCCCATCGTTGAACCAATAGTTCCTGATAGGAGTTTGTCAATTGTAACATATCTAATCATTTTGATTACAAAATAAAATTTAGAAATTAAGTATTTTAAACAATTAGATAAAATTGTTATTCTAATAGTGATAGTTATCTAAATTTCATTATTTTATCTAACCAAAAATATATGTCTAATTCATTTTCACAATATCATTTGTCAAAGGCATTTGTTTATTATCAGTCTAGAGATTTCTATAACTAATCGCTTCAAACACAATTTTTCATTCTAAATTTGACCGAGATATTTTTAATCGATTATTATACATTCCATCATACTCACTGATATGTTTTCTACAGTTAGAATTTGCTTCATTTTTTTATTTCACCCTCAAGTCATACGAATGTAATTTGTTTTAACATTATTACCTTACATGTCAAGCTATCTATTATCCAAGGAAATTTATTTACATCTAACACGCTGCTGCGGATAAAATAATTGAACCAACATCTCCTATACGTCATTTACGATAGTAGAAATAACACAATTTTTATACGTCCATCTATCGATGATACAGTTTAATGTCACAACCTGACTTATCATCAGAAATAGAGAAGCTATTATTTAATGCATTTGCTCATCGTCAATTACATCTTTTCCTTAAATGTAGAGTATCCGACACATAGTCATAAAAGATGAGTGGCCATGTTGGTAATCTGAGCACGTATCAGCAAGAAACATTGAATAAGGTGAGATTTTATAATAGATTAAAATGTTACTGAAAAATACGTTATTTCAATCGAGATATAGAAGATAATTTGCTTTTATTAGTTTACTTTACAAAGCGAGTAAGGAAAAAGTTTTCGTTCATTTCAATAAAATGCCTAAATAGACGTAATAATCATTAAATTAAGATAACTTAACTTAACTTTTAAAGGACTTCATTAATTTGCCATTGCTTCGACAAATAGATTGATTACTAAAACATCTCATCTATCATTATTGATTTACAATTATCGCTTTATTTAAAATCAATCTGTAGCAAACTGTAGAAAACCGACTTAATACATTTTATAGTTTCTTAAACTAGACCCTAATAAAAATTGCAACACGCCATAAACAAGTCATAATAAAACCATTTATTCAAATGATATCGTTTAATCCTTTTTAATCAACTGTCATCAATTCACGATTTACTTGTACTTGACGACCGTTTCATTTTCTACAGTTTCGCCAAAACGTTGAAAACATTCTTACACAAGAAGAACTCGAAGACGATTATTACATGTTGAGATGGCTTAGAGGTTAGCTATATTGAACTATTATCTGTCGCCGTTGGTAGATTCTGATTAATCACGAATGTAGCCACTGATACATTCTCAGTCTCGGCTAATCCATTGAAATTAAGTAAAATAACTAGGATAGGAAAATTACTTCAAGTTGTAACGACTACATAAATATGATGAAAATTTTTACATAGTAATATTATAAATCAAATTTTATGATTAAAAAATTATCTAGCGAGAGATTTCGACCTACAAAAAACGGAACAAATGCTGCGCAAGGTGATTTTCCTCCTACCTGTATAGCATACTCATTTTTTGCCTACTGTAGGTTAACGTTATTTCGATTATAACGACAAGGATACTGTATTATACGATAGTTTTATAAAAAATTTAATATATCTTGCTATTATTTTACCTTAAATGCTATTATCAAACGTCGCTGTTTTTAGTTTGTTATTTGATATTTACTAACCGACATATGTCTATAAAGATTAGTTAGCAATCTTTTAATAACATAATTATAGTTAAGATACTATACAAATTTAAATATCTTTCCATTATTTTATCTTAAATACAATTACCAAATTTCACAATTTTAGTTTCTCATTTAATAATTTTCTAATCGAATTGCATCTATAAGAAATTAACTAGCAATCTTTTAATTGCATACTTATAGTCTCGATGAAATAAAATCATCTGTTGTGTAATTTTAATTTATTTTTAGCATTGCCGGTTTCGAAAGGAATGGAAAATTGACAGAGTTCTAGCAGAAGATAGCATTCCGGAGGTAGAGAAGCCTCAAACTGATTATTTATTTAAGCCTGTGTATATTCATTGAAGGAGGATAACGAAGCAATGCTTTATAATTCAATGTCACAATTTATACTCTACGACAAGGAAACATATAGTAAAGTTTATAAGTAACTACTGACTTAACTTAAACGCTCTTTACTAAACGCTAAACACACACTGCAAAGTACTGTAAAGATAGAACCCTTATTAGCATAGACACATCTACAACTTTTCACCACACAACCCATCTCAAATATTCCCGTTTATATAGGAACTGCATAATTTGTAAACAACAGCATTATTATTATACCTTACTAGGAGAGACATCTCGAACTAAGACGTTCCCTACATAGCTTTTTTTATCGGTACATACTTAATCTTAATCTAAGCATGTATCTTGTCTAGTTCAATTATCGTTAACTAGAACTTGAACCATCTTACCACTATCTACACATAATAACAATCAACGTCAAATATGTAATAAATTATCACAATTAATGTCTACGTTAAGCATTACTTATCTTACCTAGCACTACGAATATGGATATTTTCCATATTAGCTACTACTGTACTATTCTAACGATATGGTAACATCGCCACACTCTATAATATAATTTCAATTATCTTTCTAAAGTCTCATCGATTATTTCGAGCCAAATAGCATTAAATCTACGGATATATCCCATTCCATGCTTATTAGCAAACAGGATCGATACTGTATATAAAATATTTCTTAACATCGACTTTTAATTACCATTGAAACTCCAACGCAAGTAATAACATTCTGATTTTGTTAGATATGGAAAAAATACTTCCCAGGAAATTATGTTGGATACAATAAAGATAAAGGACCATTATACTTATTTTGTACTGGACGATTTGATCTAAAAGGTTAAATGCTATAGTATTGTAATAGTTTATAAGAGCGCATTCATACTTTATATTAGAATTTAGGAAAGCATGCAGTTTTAATCTTGATTAATATAAAGAATTTTAAGTTTCTTTACCAAGAACACACTATTCTAGAATACCGCCATGAATTTTTTGTCTTAATTGTTGATTATTTAGGTATTTATCATTCGCTTCGACCAGAAGAACTAACAAAGTATAGCTTATCCATTGCTGAGGAAGGTACAAAATTGTGCCAGGAGCAGAGTCAAAAGGTAGGAACGTAATAATCTTTATCAATTATATCGCAATTACTACTGAATATAGCTTGTATGGCCTAAGAACGTTGTGAATGAATTTCTGTCTAAAATACGAGTATATGCTTTATGATATTCTGGATATTTTCTTGGTCAGCATGGCAAAAGAATAGAAGGTGTGACTATAATTCAAGACATGTCAGGTTTTACCGTTAGCAATTTCTATAAACCTGGTAAGAGTTATGCTACTATTAGTATTGTGGACGGCATGAATACTGTATATTTAAACCTATTTTCAGGAATATTTAATTTTTGATCGTAAAATGCTTTATTTCATCTATATGCTTAATATTAATGAATATTTTTTATATTTTGTAGCTGTGGTCCATTTCGCTAAGGTAATACCAAAGCAGCTGCTAAATTTCTTTAATTAAATATTTTAAAATGACGCATTATTCTTAGTACTGTATGCGTAGCTAGCTCAAACACGTTATTTACACGATTAAGACTACTTCCATTCACCATTAATTTTAGTTTTAATCATACCGTAATTCTGTAGGTATTGGGGATGTTCGAAGATAACTATCCTGAATTTATGAAGGATGTTTTTGTTGTTAATGGTATCATAATAAAAAAATTAGGAATTTTATTAACCACGATGATATTTTCGTAACTATAAAGCTTAGCGATTCATCATAGTGACTAAATTATTGGTTATAAATCCCCTTATTTAGCGTCAAGAATATTTTTTATCGTGTACGCTATTGTGAAACCCTTTCTTAGCCCAAAAACGAAGGAAAAGATTCGCATATTAGGAAGTAAAGATATGGCATCAACTGGAATAGTTCCCATTCACTAGAAATCAGATTTTACTACATTAATCCCTTTTAATTTTTACTGACTGTTTCTAATATTTGGCATGATTTTGCGTTTAGGTAACTACCAGCAAGTTCTTTTAAAACATATACATGCCGAATCATTGCCTAAAATTTATGGTGGTAACAAGGTAGATGACGATGGTGATCCACAATGTTCGGCAATTGTAAGGAGTTACTTTAGCTAACATTAAGAACAATATAAAGATACATTAACCCATTTTCATACTATAGTGCATTAATTAATATATTTGTATACATCGCTTACTGCTAGGTTGGCCATGGAGGTGAAATACCTACCTCTTATTATCGATCGAGCAATAATAAAGTAAACAGCCGCTCCGAAGAAGATTATTCCACGGTTACTATTGCTAGAGGTGATACTTTGAAATTACAATTCGACATTAACATTCCTGGTACTTTAATGAAGTGAGTTCATACAATAATTTTAAATCACTATTCAAATACTTCTATATGTAGAGTGTTGGCCTATTTATATTTCCGACTTTTTAATACCTAATTTAGGTGGGAGTTTAAGACAGAAAATCATAATATTGGCTTTGGTGTTGTCAAAGTGATCGAAAATGAAGACGGAACGATTGAAAATTATGAAGTGGTAAGTGAATTAGAAGACTGGAGAAGAGTAAAAATAAAGTAATACGCGTATTATATATTAAAAGTAGTATGCATATATATTCAGTAAAAAGTTTTGCAAGATATAGCGAGCAGAAATTAGGCTAGTTGCAAGTAAATTAACAATTGAGTATGGCAGTTTAAGATAATTAAAAAAGCGGCAAATATCCTATCAATACATGACAAAGTTTTTATTATTTGGATCGTTTATCTGATCTTAAGACCTTGTTGCTGATAGATCCCTATTGCTCGACGAAGTTGTCAAAGTACTCTTGAAGAAGGCAATTATTATTGCGAAGATGCTGGAACATGTAAACCATCAACCATATAAAATAAATTAATTTAAAAACTTGCATATATTTTACTCTACCCAGTTGCCTTGCGCGTACACATTCATTCAGTTTGAATAATTTTACTTTCTTTTATTGGTAGATATTCTTTGCTTCGACAATAGTTTTAGCTGGCTTACTGGCAAAAGTCTGCACTACGCTATTGATATCCTGCCACCCGATGAGGCAATTACCGACTGAAAGGATAATTTAGAGGAAAGAAATGTAAATAATAAGGACTGATAAATGTCAAGCATGAATATCAGCATAGATTTCATGAGTCGCTACTACAGTTCGTAGCAATGTGTATCTTCAATATTACTACTACAGATCGTGAAAAGAATTTCTACCAGACTAACCTATGCATACATATTTATGAAATACTTTCAGACACTTCAGGGCTGCGCTATTTCTAAAATAGAATGATCGATTCGTGTAAAATTAATTTACTTCACAAACTTGGTGATAGTAACTTGTATTCCTTATAACCTCTAACTAATAATTATCATTAATAATAATTTCGAGTTTTTACTTTTCCAATTTTTGCTTCAGTGCGATAAAAAATATTCCTTCTAGCGCTTTCTTGTCCTTGAGAGCTACCTCGTTATAAGATGTTTAAAATTTTATCTTATAGAAATGCTGTTATTGTCCCTTACCATATTATTAATAGATTACTGATACATCTATGAAGTAGCTTTTACAACATTAAGATATCGTATTAATCTTAGCGTTTTACTTCATAGAGCACATACAATAGGAATAATATACTAGTTAAATAATAAATATATAAAAGTAATTATCTTGTCTTGCAGCTGCTTTTCATTACTCTCAGCAAATGCCATATATGCAAATGTTTTATGAAAATTTAAATGGACTAATCCTAATGTTACTATCTTACCAACGTCGCTTTACTACCAATATATGAGAAATGAAAGTATTTCAGATAACATCGCCTTACTTAATCTTTAATGTAGAAAACCATCAAATAATTTGGCTAGCTAGGTTATTAAATATCTGGATACAGCTACAATTTACATAACCATGTATCATAGCGTGGGACTACGATAACGCCAGTAATGAACGTTTTCCAATCAGACGTCAGTATTAACCAGAAAATACATAAAACACGTAGAAGCTGCTGCTTACTAAACACCACTTAATTTTGCCGTTTATCAATTTCAAACTGAAATGCTAGATATAAATTCTGCCTTTATTTGACAAATGAGAGTGTGAATTTAAGGAATTCTCGAGATATACATGTACTGCATATTATGTATACGATAACAGTAAATCTCTAATAGCATACGACAAGCAGAGCCTGATGATATTATAACGTCATTTAAGATTGTAAAGTAACTTAGTATCGTGATTGTAGGCTATTAGCAATGTTAAGTATGATATACGGTAGTGTCGCTTCTATATTTATCTTAAGATATATTTAGTAGCTCATAAATATAGACTGTAATGGTAGACCTTATACTAGAGAACGGATGACTATATAAAGATGTTGAGCTACTAATAAGGTTAGAGCTAAAAATACCGTAGAACTGTAAGTCTTACTAGTCCAAACTCCCGTCGCTTTGCTGACGGTTTACGATAATGTACCCACTTGTTAATAATTAACAGATAGTATAACCATTCGACATTATATAGATATAGATATATCCCGGTAATGGCTGCGTACTATTATATTTAAAACAGATTGATTTAATGTACGTACTGATCGTGCATTTCCACGTTGTTCACTTCGCTTTCGCCTATCAGATCGCTGACTAACTGACATTATCCTCTTAGAACTGCTTTTTGTTATATGATATATAGCAATCAAAAATAACCGGGACAGGGAAACTACAGTAGGGTAACACTACGAAATGCATGAGAGCAATAAAACTAATAGTACCTGTGAATGTGTATCAATCACGTATACCTTGTCAATAATATTTACATAAACCCTAGAGATCATTCATTTCTATACCAATTTCAAATTTCCTTAAGTAACTTTCGTATTAGTATGTTTACCGAATAAGGATGGTTACTATATACAGTATTAATGCTATGTTAAGGTTGGTAAGCGAAACTGTCAAATATACGTTTATGCTCAATTTGTTAATAAAATTAACAGATAGTATTATCACTCGATATTATATATATCCCGGTAATAGTAATGTACTATGCTATATTAAGATTAGTTAATAATCCAAAGCGCATTATGATAACTAATGAACTGTGCTGCTGGATATGCCAAGTTAAGATTAGCAGGTACTGTAAGATATCTATAGTGCGGTATAATGCCCTTAGTACTGTGGTCAATTCTATACCAATCATTATAATGTGTCTAAGGATCGCTTGCGTATGCAAGCAAAGCTTGCTCTGTCGATAACAACCGTTAGTTGTGTTATAAGAAATGTAACAATCAAAATGGCTGTGTAGAAAACACTATAAAGATTCTATGTTTATTCAATTTTCATCAGAGCATTACATCAAATCAAAATTTAAAGGCCCAGTGGCCACCCTTAGCGATATAACGAATACTATTTCAAAATCAGTACTCTGTAGAAATTACTGCCTTAGAGCTATTCGTTTTACATGAAGAAATGTTGAGGTAAAAAGTACTGCAAGAATCTTATACTGACCTATTGAAATGAACCCATAATCAGAGTCATCTAACAGTAGTATAAAAATACCCCCGCGCTGCTCGTTTCAAGGGAGGATGGGTGGGATATTAGGGTGTGGTTAGTTCATCGTACTTTGAGCGGTAGGAATAATGTCTACGAAAATACTGTAATCGTTTCTATACTGAATTTATAATGATTCTCCGTAAAATAATGTTACTAATAATAACTTGATTACGTATAAAAATAATTAAAATGTTGCTATACTGATTGTATCTGCGAAGGCTGCGGAGAGTATAAAAACAGACGACATTAGGTTATCTGCTTGTTTTTTCTATAAGTTTTTTAGTAGTTGTACTCAGCTAGAGTAGAGCTGTGTGTAGTTAACCTTTGTATTAGATCTAATAGGGTTCTTATTTCTACAAATTTTGAATTTTCTTGATCGAATTTTATGATAAAGATCTAATTCAATAACGTCTGGTACAAATCATCAAAGAATCGATTATAAATTTTATATAAGTTACATTATAGAATTCCATACAGAAAGGTTGTGCTGATGCTGACTAGTCACTATATTACTACCATACTATAATTCAAATATTATTTTGAAAATGAATACTGTAATTTCAGCTTTGTATTGCAGTTTAATGAGTAGCTTATAGGATATTCAACGTCATAAAGCAAAGTATTGATGGATGTAATGCGTATATGTTGCCTTTATTCTTAAAGTTATCCAGTAATACTTTTAAGCAAATGTAGCACCTCTGCTACCAAGGTATTCCATAGTTTGTATTTATTTTAAATCATATCAAAACCAAAGCATGGGTGATGCAGGGCTGCACTACTGACAGAGTTTTAAATAGACACAAAGTACTTTGATATCAGGTTAAAACTCCCTTAGCAAAAATAAATAAATAAATGGTCATGAGCTGCTGAGTTGCTTCCTTTTAACTGGTCAAGGTACAATCGCATGATGCTTGTTATTCTGATAGTAAGTTAGACTTCCCTTACTTAAAATGAACTATTACCGCCTTGAACGGTCATCAATATGTATGTAGATGCTGCTAATAAGCTATGTTGATCTCTAAACTCATACTGCTAACTGGCATTAGCTGAAGACATAAACGCAGCAGATCGCAAACTTGTACTCGTATATCAATTGTGTTCTTGATATGGAATGCAGCTATACAATGTCTAATTTTACGATAGTTTCTTTGTAATTTTATACAGCAATACTAGCATTTAAAGAAAAATTGCAAATACGCGCATGTAAATCCGACGTAATGAGCGAAAGGAAGTCTTCTTTAAGCGCCTTTTTGTAAGCTTCTAAAGTTCCCTCCGAGAATTAGTCTAGCCTTCGTATCATTTTGAAGATTAAGATCATCTAGTATTATTATAGAATTTTTAACGAATAAACGTAAATTAGTAAAGACTTTCCATTTAGATGAGAGTAGTTTCCATATTACAAATCAAATTTTACAGACGCTACATTAGTCGGAATATTTTTACAAGCTTTTCTTAAACTCAATTTATACTTTGTATAGTACGATTCTCAATTAAAACTTTTTATATATTGATCTAGTCTAACTCTCAAGATACTAAATTTTAGATAAAATAGATCTGTTTTATAAGCAGGATACCTATAGGAAACATTAATAATGGCTACGGAACACAGTTTCTATGATACTTCAAACCAATCTTTATGCAGTGTTAATCCGTAACAAGTCATTTATCGACATAATTTATCTTCATGCTTCCTTATCATTTTTTGAAGCTTAACAAATCATAATAATTATGCGACTAATTATGTAAATAATATGCGCTTCTCTTTTATTTCCTGATTTCATTTGCATGAAATAAAATTGTACTATTCATCCAATCATACAGATGGAAATACCCACCAATGTAACTTGTACGCATATTCCATGATGTTCAACTACGGGTATAAAATATAAATTCGTCTATACGATATCGTAGTAGGACAATGTAAACCATGAACAATTAATAATTTTAGGCTGCTTTAATGGCGAAAAAATTGCATTAGTATTAGAAAAATCATGTAGATCGTTACTAACTCTGGCTTATAGAGTGAAAACCCATTCAACGATAGAAAGCAATCTTCACGTTCAATCTTAAGTATTTCGTTTTTAAGAGAAATACATCTTGACGGTGAAATTGTAATCAAAACTTGGCAAGCCGAAGATAAAAACTCCCTATTTTCAGTGTAGAGAAGGGTTCAAAATGCGTCTGTCAATTAGAAATTTATAATCGACACGAATATTTAAACAATTATTAGTCTATTCAGGCTATTATTCTATATTATATACTGTATATCTATATTCAGGCAGATATTTTGGCACATTTTAGCCGTGCATTATATTAGTAATTTTAATACCCTTCATTGATTAATTAGTTAATGCTATCATAAACATTAATCCTTAGCATAAATCGTTGTGATATAAATTTGAACTACTTATTTGATCGAATGTAGTCTGAAATAATTTGAAATATTCTCTCTTTATGTATAATGCAAGCAAATTATTTAATTAATGTTTCCATACGAGAAAGATTCTTCGTAGCATGACACCATAAATTAATATTAACAAATTTTTAGTAACAGAATTATTATAATATAACTAGTGTCAGATGGTAATTTCCCTATATCATTGATTTAAATTATACCTCCTAAAATCATATTACTCATTGATAATCATATTATCTATTGGATTCTAAGTGATCAAATTACCAGAAATTACCAAAAAAAATCTGATATGGAATTATATGGCAAATTTAACATGTAGAATTGCAGACGTTATCAATTCATGTCAGAATGCATTACAGTTCCACAGTTCGATGTTGCATTACAAAATTCATTACAGCCTATGATATGTAGTTAACTTTGTATCTAGAAAAGCTATAACATTGATTACTAATCACTCATTATGGTAAACGTAATCAATGAAGTAATTAGGATTCACTCCATATCATGTTGTATATCAGATAAGTAGCATAATTTATAGCATTGCAGGGTACAATATGTAATGGTAGTACGATAATTTTAAAAAGGTAACATCTTTCATATATATTTGCTACATTGCTTTAAACAGAATATTAGGAGGTTCTAAAAATATGCATAGCAAGCAATGCAGGAGTTTGATCTATATCCGTACTGTATAGATATAAGCATGGACTAACTAAGCTATATAATTATTTTGATAAAGTTATTTATTTGCATCATTTCGTTTAAATTTGAAACTATAAGTGGAGTAGGTTTATCCTGTCGTTGATAGAAAATATTACAATTTCTATCAGTTTATTGATCATCAAAACCTTCTTTTCCACAGTAAGATTTGTATATTTACGTACGTGTTTATTACAGCCAATGCCCATAATTTAAATCATTACATATAACTGAAGTCAAAAGGCAAATTGCACGACATCACGTTTAGGAATAAGGTCATAATTCCTACGGAGAACCAAATGTAAATAAATAAGACCCGTGAAGTTAACTTGTGTTGAACTAATCAAGGTCCAATCTATTTTTTATTTACTTTAAAATAACATCGTACTATAGTATCAATCAGTAAACTACAGTATTAATGCATTTCTTACGAAGATACTCGTTAATGTTTCTGTTCTAACAAACACGTTATTGCTTTATTCATATCGCGTATCTGAAGAAGATATATCCTACAACTACGAAACATTTTCCCATTCCCATTCGATATTAGTCCTGTCGTCTAATAATATACCGCCAGACACTATCATGAAATCGTTAATTATCTTTCGACGTATCAATCCTAATTATAAAGTATATCATCATGACATCAGTCATTCAAAATATTTAAACCTGTCAGCGAGACTTAAATTTTGTACCTATGTTAAGCCATTACCAATATTACAGCAAAAATTCTCAGCAAATCACAGTAGAATGTCTTTCAAATACAAGGTAAGTTCATATTGCCGATATAACTAGTTGTCTGAATACAGTACTATTTTTTACCCAGTAGCGGTCTTACAGATACTTGCCTAAACGTACAAGAATATACAGGTCTTATATAGTATAGCCAAATTCTAGTGCTTACAATATCGCAGGACTTCTATTTAGATTTTTAAACTCAGTAGATTACATTCTACTACCGATATGAATAATATTTCTATTTCTTGATCTTCAATGTTTGAAATGGAATCTTGCTAACATCTTATTTTTTATGAACTATAATATGCATCCATTCACCAAAACATGTATTCCACAAATTTCAATTTATCCACCTACGTATTGGCATTGAATATTTATTCTCAATGATATCCCAGTCTAATGAAGCAAACCAAAAACGATATACAGTTCTAGGACGTTTTAATGATCAAACGAATCGCAATAATATTGAAAATATCATGCAGATTATTACAAACACTGCTACATTTAGTGAAAATTCGTCCATTGACCGGAAACAATCGCTATCACTAACCTCCTATCAACCAAAATCTTATATCGCGAATATCAAGCCAAAGTATTTTCTATACGGCGTAGGTGCTGAAGGCAATATAAAATGGAGCAAAAAAGGAGAGACACAATTGAATTACTACTTACACGACGGTAAAACCGATGAAGTTGTGGTCGATGGTCAAATAACGGATATAGAGGAAAGTCTTCAAATAGTAAGTACCTAAATAGTATCGAACATTTTAAAGAATATCAAACGAATCGGGCAACATTAAATAAATATAGCAAGCTAGGTGACTCTTCGATAATCGATTTGGAGTTTCTGACGAGTCTATAAAAGGCTGGTGCCTGAAGATCCCTTTTTAGTTAGCTAGTCGGTTAGATAGTCCACTAGTTTATCAATTGATATTTAATTGTAAAGACTATATTCTTGGGTGCCAAGATTTCTTCAGTTATAAATGATAGTAAATCTCTGACTTTCTCGTCTACACTATCTGTGACGCTATAATTATACCATAGTATTCGGTCGTTGGAACTGAATTATTTGGTGATATAGCTAATCTCGCCTCTTTAAGTTAGTAAGTGGCGTTCTCCGCAAGGATTGGCGTGTGTAGACTACTTTGTCACTAGTGGTGTGTGACACAGATGTAAGATAACAGTGTATATAGATTTCGTTTTAAGATGATATAGAAATTTGTGCAAGATCATAACGGATGTTGTATGTCAGCATGCCAAAGGTTTAACAATGGTGCAGACTATTTTAATAGTATTGTTGACGTTTGTCAATAACAGTGAATAGCAAACTCGATACGGTATAAAAATTGTACGCTCTTACGACAACTGTTTCACTCCTAATCGTGTCGACAAGCACAAAATATTACAGTAATCATATCAGTATAGCTTTTTCCTGTTCATAGAACTCATATAGTGCTGGTACATATTAATGCAAACAAGATCTAAAATTCATATTAGTTCACTAAATATTAATTCATTCGAGATAGCAATTTGATTTGTCTCCAATCATATATTAATCACAATAATTTTATTTCAAAATCATGAATAGGAACAACCATCTGAATATCATTCTTACGAAATCAAAGTTCGACCTAATGATTTAGGCCATACCTATGAAGTCCTAATACCTCAACATTTATGCTTTGCTGTCAGCGGTATTAAAGATGCTATACGTTCCAAATATGATGATTATATGGCTAAAATAGATAATAAATGGCTGAGTAAAACTGCTCGATTTCAACTCGATTACTTATTACCGGCATATGTTGACGAGACATTGATTGTCAAATCATGGTCTAACCCTGACCGAAACGAAGTAAAGAGTTTAATCATGCGCGGTGAACAATGTTTAAGTTCTTTTACAATTAATTTCGATCCACAGCGAGAATTTACACCTGGTCGCTTCGATCCGGATCTAGATATAATAAGTCTTGATTCTTTCCATGTTAAATTCAATTCACCTCATTTATTTTATTTCAGCGATAGGTTTAAACAATCAGATGTAAGTAAGCTGTTATATGTTTTTCTGGAAAGATTCGAAGCCTCCTTACGTTTAGGTGTATTTGACTTTAACGTACTAGCCTCTAAATACAGCGGTACACTAATGATTGTGGCAAATACAGGAATAATAAATCCAGCACTTTATGATTTACCACCAAATACAATGATAAAACAATCGATGAGAATGACGTCTATTGGCAAGTCGTCGTGTATTCTTACTTTCGAATTTTACGACATACTAACTGAGCAATTGGTTTTAAGCTATGATAACGTTTGTATTTTCATGAAAAATGGCAAGCTCGAAACATTTCCTGAAGCGTACAAGAAGAAAATGTTGGAAGAAGTACCTACGAGGGTATCCGACGAAGGGGTAACATAATAATATATAAGATACAGTACTTGTTACTAGATAATTATATAAGTAAGCTGATTCGAAATCTAAAATTTTTATATCACCCTACAATTACTGATTACTATGTACTTATCGTCCATGTAAATCTTATGGATCATAACGATATTTAATGCCGATTGTAATAAATAAATTAACGTAAAATCTTTCATAAAATACTGCTAAAAGTTATTTGGGTTAAAGCTAAAATTTATAAATTTTTCTATTTTCTATATAGGTTATGCTGCTATTTAAGAAAGTACCTGAAAATCATTATACCTACAAAGTGAAAACACGATCAAGTGATGTCGATTATAATAATCATATCGGTTACGCCGGTATATTTGGCTTTTGCCTTGATACCGCGAGTTCCGCTATTTCGTCTAATAGCAGCTGCTACAAGTATAATTTCGGTAAAGATTTCAATCCACGTTGTATCCGTCAGAAAAGTGTTTCGTTTTTTAGAGAAATACATCTTGACAGTGAAGTTACAATCAAAACTTGGCAAGCCGAAGATAAAAACTCTCTATTTTTCAGTGTAGAGAAGGGTTCAAAATGCGTCTGTCAAGTAGAATTTGTCGTCGATATTTAAAACTGCTTTTAAGACCTTTTGCCAGTCATGGCGTTAAAAAATAGGACTGTTCTATTTTCTTTACTTTTAAGGTTGTGCTTTAAATCCAGTTGCTATATATTAAATTGTTACTATGAATATTGATTTATCAAGTAATGTCTAAATTTTCATTTATCAGTCATTACTTACAGGTTGCTTTCATGAAGCTTAACATTGATATTAGCAGCGTTCACCATTTGCATATATCGTACTTACTAATTGAAGACCTTTCAAATCATATTTCATACCTTTCGCCATACTCTTTTAAGCGTATATGTTTATTTGTAAGCCATATTATTTTTCTTGATATTATTCCCGACTAACATGACTAGTCAGTATGTAAGGTCACGAAGGTCATATTTAACCCCCATCCTCTCTTTGTAATTGCCTAATTCAAATAATTGCATTCCACAAAATTTTATCTTTTGCCAGGTAGATCTCTCAAGCGTAGTTTCTATGATTGCTTTTGATCTTTCTCATATTTTCTCATGTTGCAATAGCAAAATTCTATTAACACCTATCTTCACTTTTTTTTATTGCTGAAATCTATCTCACAACCTAATCCTTGATTCTTAATGCATTTATTTGATGGTTTGTAAGCTTGCACGGTCGGAGATAACGTTCTCGAAAAAGTTACAGATCCAGAAGTAAAACTTTAGATTTAACACATGCTTGGTACAGAATCGCGATTGAAAGACTGAATTATATAGCAATCTGATGAGTTAATAAATATTGCATAGCTAATTTATAACTAGCATTTTGTCGGAAGAAATTATATATTAAGTATAGAAAATGAAGTGAAGTTATATTTGAAAACGTTGAGATTGCATATACAGAAATTCTGCTTATATTCAAACTTTATAGAATCTATTTTTTCGACTAACTGGAATTAGGAATATATCTGTTCCTAGAATACGCTTACTGCTGTCGTAAATGCATCAAATGCTTGATTTACTACCGTATTAGAAGATAACTGGCATGACGAAAATAGTGATCTTTGACATACATGTATAGTTCATTGATGATCTTTTTAGCAAATATTATTATCAAAGCTAGGACATTATTGCAATACTTGCTTGATTAAATATAATCATTTACCTGATATGTCAAAAGGGATGACACTCAGATTTAGTTGATTTCCTTTGATCCATTATCCACCTCTGGACTGTGCATAATGTAATAGTAATTTTATATTGCAATCTTACTCTAGATTAAGAAATCGTTCTCAATTTCTTTATGCATCAGTTACATACAAGTATTGACCGATATTGCTTACTTAACAAGGATTACCGATATTAGTCTATAGTATGATTAACTTCTTTACTAGCGGATTTACTATTTAGAATCGCATACGATAATGGAGTGAAAGTTTAACATAAACCTATAAATTTAAGAAATATCTTACACTTTCATGCCGTTTTTAGATCCGAACAGCACAACTACAGTTTTACTATTTTAACCTTTTGAAGCCTTATTTTAAGATCATAGAAACCTCAGTAGAATCTTTACCTTAACTGAATATCATTAAAATGCCTTACGCTTTTTAACATTATATCATTAATTTATATTTGATCAAAAAAATTTCATTTACATAATTTCCGAGCATACGAGCATTTACCTGTAAATTAAAGTTAAACAAAGTGGCGGTATAGGCTTCTTGTTGAGTTCGTGTCTTGATTAAGGTTACCTTATTATGAACTATGAACATTCTTGTATGATTTAATAAATGAATAATAATGAGCAATATTCTATGATATATAACGCACTGGCCATTATTCATACCGATCGCTAACTGTATTTAATTTCTTATTTACTTTGACAATATATCATGCTGTAAATAGTACACGTAATATTCGGAAAGAGTTGTTACGCACTAGAAAACTAGTGAGGCTAGGGGAAGAGAGCTATTCTATATTATGCATACAATTGATAATAATAATTATTAGAAGCATTACTCATATCCTTAATTCAACATTGACAGTATGAATAAATATAAAGATATTTTGACACATTATTGATCACATTGACCTAATTAATAGTTAATCCACAGTTCGAAAATCTTCTTAATCATTCTCATGATCAGATCTGTTCTTCTGTCATGATAATAAATTTATAAGCATACGATATATCCCTTTTTCTAGAAATCAACAGGGGATTGCCAACAGGCACAGAATAAATTAGTATGGAGATTTATGAATTTATCATGTACTTCTTAGCCAAAATAGGTGTAAATGGCATATCTAAATTCTTATTTTAGGTTAAATAATAAAAATACCTTGCTTCAGTAGAAGGGTATATCAATTAGTATTTTGATTACAGAATAAGTATAACCACAAATTTAGCCTAAGGTCATAATAAAGCTTATTAATTTCATTACTAGTTCGTATCATATCCTGTGCTCTCCATTTTCATCTAACATTGTGCTTATAGACATAAAAAGATCCTAAGGCTTCCCACGCAGTAAATTCAGCGAAAGATATTTCTACCATATAAGATAGTGATACGGCAATATACAAAAACAAGACAATCGCTCATAGCTTTATCTAAATGTTGCTTAGGGAACTATTCACATTTGATGTCAAACTATAGTAGCAAAAATTATAATACAGTTTATCAGGCTTTCAAATTGGAGCTAACTGAGTACGGAACTATCGCTAAAGCAGCTTATGAATTTACGAAGCAGATGATTATAAGTCTTTTCTTAGCTTCCACTCAGAGCGCTATTGCCAAAATTTTTAAATAAATTTAGACACGGTTTCTTAAATGTCAATTGAATCTAACGATATGCTAACTAATCGATTAACATCGACGACGGTCTCATTTTCCCTGGCTTGTACGTGATTTATATAATTACCTCAATAGCTTGTGATCGAAAGATTCAGAATTTTCCTTTGTAAGAGGCACGATAGTGTATTGTATTGCTAGCTGATTAGTCTACATTAACAAGCGCTATATTAGGTATATTAAGATTTGCATCGCAAGAAGAATATTCTTCAGCGATAATTAATCAAATTTTAATTTAGTAAATAATTTTACCGCTATTAGAAGTCGTACAGTATTAATTATCTATTGCCGTTGTATTTGTAGGCGAAACTTCTACTTTCTCTATTACGCCAAAAAGTAACATAGAATAGTGAGAGAAAGTATTTAGATCGATCAATAGAGATAGCATAGCGTCCAGTATCAATAACGATTATCATTTTGTTGTTTATGGCTTTAATCATGAGGCCAATTGTGATGATATCGCCATATATAATTAATAGGGTTACTTCCTGTAAAGTAATTCTAATTGCTAGATGCTATTGGCTAGAGAATACGATCACATGATAAGCATCTTGATATGTTTGCTTTATTGATTAAACTCATTATGTAAGTGATATTATCATCAAAAATGTAGATGAATTAGCTAACGGTTACCGTTCTATATGAACAGTTATGATTATTAATCTGTCTAATAATGGGCTGGGTGGAGAAAGAAAGAAAAGTTATGATAGCTTTTATTATTAATAATAAAACGGATGACTTTAACTTAAATAAAGGTTTTCCCACTGCTGCAGCTTTGAACTTGAGAGTGCTTTTATGTCCCTCCCTATTTTCTCACACGTCAAATTAATGTATGTTATATGATCGCCATATCTCAAGTTAAATATTGTAACTTTTGAAATTACTAGGTTCATTTTTTCTTCCTCCAGCCAAATCTTTATCTGGATTGACAATCTGGCATCCTGCTGACGGCATACCATTATAATCATTAATAAAACCTCTTCCATATTACTACCAAAAGTAAGTAGACTGTGTCATGTAGTATTTATACATGTTATTTGCAATAAGAACCATGCAGACTAGCGCATCAGAAATTAAATTAATGAGAGTGTCCTAAAAAAGAGAAAGATCTTGGTCTAACTATTAAATATTCGACTCTTTTCGCATCACTTGTTTGTCATCATTGATGTCTCAAATCATCTATGGTAGATGGTATCTTCGTGATTTGTTATTTTAACTCATTTCTGTAAAGACTGCATCTGATTATCGTTATCTCTGTTTTTTAATTAGATTAGATAGAGCGTTATTGTAACCACTATTATAACGTAATATACTAATCCTTTGATAATATGTGAATACGTTACTACAATTTTGAAACATAACTAAATCATTGGATGACATCGAAATTGTAACAGTTGCTTCTCTAATACACTATTAACTGAATTTATTATGAAACACCTTTGATAATTTCGATATCTTTGTGGATGTAATACTACGTAAGTTAAGACGTTTTTCATGATTATAACTATTATTATAGCTTAATATATTAATCTTCTGAAGATGGATTAATAAACTACTGTAATTTTAGACACAGTAGATAGCATAAAGTCACCTTGCAAGTGTAACAGTCTTATCTAACAGAGCATGCAAAGAATTACGTAATTTCATTAATGAAGCTATATTTTTGTCGTTATAATATTACATACTTAAGATTTGAATAGTATAGCTAAGAAGTCCTATGCCATATTTTATAAATTTTAATGATACCTTAAGTCAACGAAAACATTTATTATATTATCGCTTAAACTAATAAAATTAAATAGATCGGTACCATATCTAAACTCAACATTGCACTCATCATTCAATCTCTTATTTAGAGCTCCCAAGTCATAAACTACACTTAGCTTTTTTAGATTGCTTTATTCTTGATTTGCTATTATAAAGACAGTATAATAATATTAATATTTAACCAGCTTGAAGATGCAGTAAGAAATTAATAACTTTATGCTCCTTGTTTCGTAATTGAACAATATTTTACAGTACCGTTGAACTTATTCGCTTTGATACTAAAGTGTATGAATTTGGCGCTATTAGAATATTTCTAAAGTTAATGCATAAGTACTACACCAAACAATTAGCTATTACTTGCGACAAAACTTAACTATTTGGTAAATTAGAAACAACAAATAGCTCTAACCTCATTCCCGGACTATAGTGCAAATCCACTCTTCAGAAACGGAATGCAATGTACAACAGGGAGATATTCGCGGAAGTTCTAACTCGCTTTCATTAAAAACACTTACTGTAACCGTGACGTTCATGAACTAATAGAATTTTATCCCAAATATCTGTATCGGCAACAGCTTTCAAATTCTTTTATACCACAGCAACATTCTATCTTAATCACTATTATTATTTTTTCAAAATATAATTCAAACTATTCGTGCAGAAGAATCTCAGATGGCACTAACCACGTAATAGGTTAGAGAGTAGAATTGAAATGAATGCAGTTTGTGCCTTTGGAATAAATACGCTTTATTGGATGTTGATGTGTTGAAAAGATTTTTCAGACTTTTAATTTAAGCAATGCTTTCTGCTTCACTCACAAAAATACTAGATAGCTGTAATCATCTAATGATTTTAGGTTCAGGGTAAGCATTTTTACAACCACCAGAATTAGTCAATTACCATATTATTTCCGCAATTATCATTTCGAAATATCTAATATGCGACTGGATGTTATCAAAACTGGTATCATTTCACTTAAATTTTAAGGAACTTCTGTAATATTCGTATAGCCAACCCAAATTCAATTACGTTATTCTTATAACTGGCAAAAGAATATATCTGTTTTACTTTATTCAATGATTGAGGATCCGTTAAGATCCTCAATGATATAGCAAAATACGAATAGAAACTCGATTCTTTCAAGATTTGAATCCGTTTATAGTGAGCATACATTAAATCGTTTAGTCTTCAAACATATTTATACTAGAATATAAGGGCCTATAAATTCTTTCAGTTAGCCCGAATTTTGAATGCATCACAAGCAATGAGCAATTTAAGTTGCTATTTGTGACAAGGATTCAACAATCTACAATAATCTTATACCGATAGGAATAGCATCCGATTATTATCTGATCATAAAATCCTATTTCGATCGGTAATACTTTTACCATTGCATAATAATTGATATCTTTATGACAACCTGGTACTATAGTAAATCTTAAAACTACATCATTAATGGTCTATGGCAGCGATGAAAGGGAAGCCTTAGATAGGATAATTGGCATTTCTTCATGAACATATTTATAATCCGAAATGTGAATGACATAAATTCACAAAGATAAAGAAAATTCAAGTCTGTCTCTCTATATATCAAAGTCACTAAAATATATTAGATTAATACTTTTTAGCAGCTTAGCCACAGTCGAAAATTGTTCGCTGATTTTACTATTCGTAAAGACATTATGATCAATGACGTCAAAGCTAAAGACTTAAAAGCATTCTATACTTCACTCCATTACTTCGCATAAAAACGTTCGAGTCCATAATCATCTATTTCATGTGATATGTAGCTACATAGAAATATTAAACAGACGTTATGAGTATCATGATTTTTAATATATTATATTAAAACAAATTAGAAATTTTTTATAATTACCAAGTATACAGCTGGTTTATAGATAGTATTAATAAGAGGAAAAGATCGTTTAGACAATATTCTATTGTTATATAACATATATACATGCATGACTATTAAAATTGCTGTCAACACACGAACGATGAGTTTAGTAGCCGTTAGGAGTCTCGTAACAATTACCAGGTAATAATATTCATTAAATAGCAGAATCATAGTAATGTAATTGAAAATTAATATATGTACAAATATTCAACATATTGATATATTCCGTTGTTATAACGAGGTAATTTGACAATTTAACGCTCTGGGTTTTCTTGACCTAACTACTGCTAGAAATTTAAAGCCTGAATAAATTATTTATTACTTGTTTCATCAAAAAATGCGAGCTTTTGATATTTATGAAGAAATTTTGGTTTCACGTTTACTATGATGTCAAACAAAGATGTGGTATTAAGCAGAATTACGATTATCTTAACAATTAATGAAGTAACAAATTAGTACAGAATTAATTCAACGATAACTTCGTCATAAAAATATTACATTTCAGAAATTAATCTATTGTTGCTCTGAATATCTTTACTGATACAGCCGTACTATTAGTATATGTACTCATGAAATGACGAAAATAGACGTCCAAAATATTACGCCAACTAATTGACAATGGCATTTATAAAAAGCTAGTTTATAGTAAATTGAGGATTAATAATATGTAAATGATCCAGTATCTTTATATATTGCTATATTATCATTGTTGGATATTTTAATTTAGTACACTTAGATTATTTTTTATCTGCTTTCAGTTAGACTATATAATTCCACTATCTGGAGTAACAGCTATGCTCCATCAAATAAACTACTGCATCTACAGTTATCAAACCAAATCAGCATATAAAATTCAGTTTAATACAGACGAAAGCTGCGGTATTAAATGGAAAAAAATATAGATGCCACAAATTTAACGTCATGATATGTTAGCCCTGTTACAAATAAATGGTTACTCAATACTAAACTATTAATATACCGTACTTGTTTATGGCTTTTTAAAATGGTATTACAAAATATATAAAATGACTACATATTGATGGCTAGCATATCCTAGCAAATTTCGTAATAATGATATAAGTTAAAAAATAATCTCTCTATGCTACTGTAATTGAGAACAAATACTTGAGGAAAAACACTGTATATACATCTATCTGCAGTTCTATTTATAATTATTATCGGATAATTTTAATTAACTCCCACTGGCGTTTATCATTGAACTGCTTATAGTCGAACAGATAGATTCTGATTAAACAGAATAATGAAAGAAAAGAAGATTTTTCCCATCTATTATTAACACTAAATAAAGGATGTGCACACACGAATATATAAAATGATAATGGGTAGTAGCGTGTGGGTGGATATGCATGTATTCTAATTCAAGACTGAAAAATCTTATATCACGGAGCATTACAATAGCGCAACTGATATCATACATATGATACTTTATGATCAAAACCAGTTTCATGCCTCTATTTAATTTAAAGCAATCATTTTCTAATGAATTTTTAGGTTAAGTTAATTTAACATGAGTGGCTATGTAGGAGATTTAAACAAACAGCAGCAAACTGTTCTAGATGAGGTAAGAAAAGAACATAGAATCCATGCACTATTAACTTGCGTTAATCAACATATTAACTACTTTAATCCTATCATGAAACGATTCTTTGCCTAAAATTTAATTTAGTAACTATTTTAACGAACGAAAGTTGACGAAATATTGCAACTGCTTTCATTTTTCTTACAGTTTCGCAAACGAATAGCCAGCTTTATTCAACCTACAGACCTTAAAGATGATTACTACTTACTTCGATGGCTTCGTGGTAAGGAATAAGGAATTTTAATGAAACTGTGATATCATTGTAGTTTCATTAGACTTTTGTTTTCAAAAAATTGGCGTAAATCACTACAACACTATGAAGATATATTCCAGCTGAAAGTTAATTCATTAAGCTAAAATAGAATGACTAAAAATTAAATTTTTCAGCTAAAAGATCATTGCCAATTATACTATGTTATAGTTAAATGTGAATTAGATTAAATTTCGTTGTAATACATGCTCCTTTAACCCCTTATCGGACTAAACTAACTGAAGGTATTTAGATCAAAGATACTGCTGCTTTTCAATTCCTTCATGTTACTAATAAGATTAGTATTCAGTATAAATGGTGCTTTACCGGTAGAATTTGATAGCTTTCTATTGATCTATGATATTATAATAAATATAGCTTTTTGAAAGCGTTTATTTCCATTTGAACCTCTTTGTAAATTTTAATTTAACTAAAATTCTTGTTCATAATAAAACTTACTGTAATGCAAATTTCGCAGGTTAGTACAAGGTTGTACTACAAAATATAACAGTGTTTCTTCAGATGCTGAGAAATCAATTACCTAACAAGATTCAAATTTCATAGACAAAGATAGTAAATAGCTTAAAAGATAATGATTAGCACTATTATTAAACATTATTGGTTTGCGATGTAAGAAAAAAAAAATGTCCATCCTTAACGACGAATAACCTAAAGTGCAATAATTCTTATATATCAGCATTGCTACAAAAATGAAAATTGTAAAGACCACCTAATATTGCTATACGAATTAGATAAATCGCTACTAATAATCATTGCGTAGTGGTAAATATAGGAAATATTGCCAGTGGTTTAGGCTTTTGAATAGAAACAAGCTATCCTATATAAACGATATATTTTAATACTTACTATTTCAATAACCGTCCTTATTACCATACAGCTCGAGATTTTCAGATTGATGAAGCTGAAAAGATGGTTAGTAAGGTACGAAATAGCAAGACGGAAAGTATCTGTTTTCTTTTATTTCTTTTCAATAACGATAGTGTATACTATTCATTTATAATTTCCCTATATCTACTAACCTAACTTGTAACAATTTACTATAGAGTATGATTGTGCGTAAAGAAATGCAATTAGACACCCTTGTTAAAACCTACAAAATGCCGGAGGTACAATGTAACATTTTTGTTGTTTTCAAACGACTTCTGACCTTAATGAATCTGATTTAGAGACTTCCATTACTAATCTTTCATTTCACTTTCTTTTAGCCCATAAAAAAGTATTATCCTGCTACATTTTTTGGCTATGACAAAAATGGCTCGCCAATATTAATATTACGTAGTGGACATTTCGATCGCAGAGGTAAATATGAATGATATTTTCGTAATAAACCCGGTCTACTTGCAGTATCTAAGAAATATTTTTTCGGTGAATGTACCATTAACTTAAAAGAATTCTGATTAGTGGCTGACTTAAATGTAGGTATAAGATGTTGTCTGCAGCTAGTTGTAAAATATTTTGTTATTATGCCAAAAACGTGACTAGATCAGTCGAAATCTCTAAGCGCTAACTATGTTGACGAGATTTTCCTAAAGTGAATACTCGATATCTAGTTTATTCGTAGTGTAATAATATTTCTCTTTATTCTACTGAATAAAAAAGAAAGTATGCATACGTATTGCTTTATTGATAATATGCAATTTCAATTCTCTGCGGTGACTATCATACAGGACTACTGCAATCAGTAAGAAAAGATGATTTCATTACGTATGGATTTTACATGATGGAGAGAGCCAAAATTTTATGTCAACAACAATCGAAGAAGGTACCGAACTGATCGACTAATTTCTTTGACAGAATTATTTACATATTTTAAAGTATAAGTTTATTTTTCAACTTGGTGCGATAGTATGTATAACATCCTAAGTAGAATGTCCTTGAATTTATTCGAATACATTTTCGTAGCTGGGAAGAACTATTGAAAATATTACAGTTATAGATGACATGGATGGATTTGGCATGAAAGATATGTATAAGCCAGGTCATTATGAGTTAGGCTTTATAATTATATCTCTGGTTATTCGTCTAGTGATTCTGGCTAGAAAAAAATGAATCTATAAACTTTACATGTCTAACTTTTGTAGCTGGTATTGTCATAGATTCATTGCCAAATTTCTAATTTTGGGGATTTTTGATACAATTAACAACGTTTAAGCTATCTTAATTCTCGGTCTAATCCATTTATTTCTAATTTTCTATTCCATTCAACAGCATTTACACTCTTTTCAAAGGTAAATAATTGTTTAGTAAAACATTATACCATAGCGGTTATTGTTAAAATTAACTGCAAGTTATTAATATTAGTCATGCAGTCTTTCGTAAAAATTTGTTACATTCTGGTCATAAATTATCATGAGATAGAAAGCACATCTAGAGCAATAGTTAGTTTAAACTATTATACTATTATATATTAATACGTAAATCTTAGTTTGCTATTATATTAACATCTGAAATATAATTTATTCACGTAGCTCGTGCCATTATTTGAAGATAATTATCCAGAAATGATGAAAAGTGTCTACGTGATTAACAGTATGCTAAAATTAAATATTTAATCTTCTTCCGCTCTATTGCTTTATTGAAATCGTAAATTTAATTCTACGTTTGAATGAAGTTTTACCTATCAATTTTTCTAACAGAATAGCTCTCAAGCTTAAGTATTACAAGTAAAATTTTGCACTATCGCGTATAAATTCGTCCGATTATTTAAATCTGTTGCTATCATAGAACTATATAGACTTGCAATTTTACTTATTCTTTAGTTATAGTCCTAGACTAATTTTAAATTCACTAATTATTGCTCTTTTATAACCAAATATACACAACCTATCCATGCTTAATAATGCAATAGATAATCAAATAAAATTTTGCTAATCACATGATGGTCTTTTAAATCTATTTTCGTTTAAGCTCCACGCATATTCTACATCGCGTTTGGCTTAATCAAGCCGTTTATAAGCGAAAAGACGAAATCAAAAATTCAAGTCATGTCAAGTAATTTTAGTAATATTAAATCTATTGATTTAAAATCAGTTATCCGTCATAAATATTTTTATAGTTCTGTTATATAGTAAGGCATGTTCGTGAATCGATATTAAAATCTCGATCCACGAACAGCATCTCGATATCTTATATAGCTCTTATGCGTTCTGTAGTCAACCTTACAACAAGTGATTAGTGCCATAGCTGACATTAGAATTGTAATTAATCTAACGGTTATAAAATTTAAATATATTATATATATACAAATCTTGCCAACCTAATACGAATAGTTTAGAATTGCACTTACTTTAACAGTTGAGTCAAGCAATGACGTTACCTAATTGATTTTCGATCGTCTATAGGGAACTATAAAACTGCTCTTTTGGATTATATTGATGCCGATCAACTACCAAAGGCTCTAGGTGGAGAAATTGTAGACGAAACAGGCGATCCATATTGTCCGTCACAGGTGATGATAAAAGCCGAGAGCGACAACCATAGCGTCTTAAACATTTGATATAGGCTGGTTGTAAAATTTTGGGTATTCTTTTGTATACTCATTTCTATTTTCAATATCTTATTTTCCTTTTGTTTTATTACAATATTACGCGTAGCTTTTCTTAACTAAACTATCTAGATAAGCTGATAGAATAGCTACTTAATGTTGTGAAGCAACTATAGAATATTTTAAATTGATACATTATTTTTAGTACAATCAATTTTTCTATAACTTGATAGCATATTTCTATATTTGTGTGAAAATCCTAATATATACAGATCTGCCCGGGTGGTGAAATTCCCAAATCTTATTACCTGAATGAATTATCTACTGAGCAATCCACTGATAATTACACAGCTGTCACGATCAATAGAAGAGATAATTTGAAATTGCCCTATGATATCAAACAATCTGGAACCATGATAAAGTAAATTTTTATTAGCTTGCTCTTATATAATATTGAAAATACTTTTATTTCTTTTTACAAATGTAATGTAATTCATTTCTTACATATTTATAATTCATAGATGGAAATTTCGAACAGATAAACATAATATTGGATTTGGCATATACAAAGTGATTGAAGGCGACAGTGAATCATCCAATCAGGTGTTTGTGGTTAGTCTTGCAGCAGGATATTATAATAATATTGATTTTACTCGTAGTCAATTAGTAATTATTCAGTTCAGTGACTGAATTTTTATCTTATTTATAATTTAGGTGCCTGTTTTACGTCGTGATTGTAATACTTTCCTTGAAAATGGCAGTTATACTTGTCAAGAGCCAGGAAAATGTAAGTTTAATGATTAGAGTAGACCAGGTGTTATCACTTTTTTATCAATATTGAAGCAAAATAGGGCGAATATGAAATGATGTTATGCTATATGTAACTACAAATATCATATATCATACGAAAGTAGAAAAATTTTATGTTTTCTCAAACATATTTCAAATATTTCTTACTATAGATGTCCTGTACTTTGATAATACGTATAGTTGGGTAAATAGCAAAAGGTTGCTATATGATATTGAACTTAGAGGTCCACGTGAAGTAGAATCCGATGATGTATTCGATTACTAATCGAAAAAACATCATACATTTTGTTGGCATTTAACATTAAATATTTAATGGATAAAGATAATTTGATGGAAGTAATAGTAATTTTGAAACTTCGCGAACGAACATTCATGGTTTATAACTTATATTACTTGGAATTAAATATACGAGTATTTTATTGTAGATCATTAGCTCTGATACAGTACGTAAATACCGTAGTGCTGTACAAATTTTATATTGCTGGTCTAGGATTTGAAAATAATGTAGTTCCTATCTTAATAGCAGAAGAATTTCATTCATTCTATATTCTTCTGTTTAAAGATAGATTATTATTTATTCAGTATGTATTAGGTTTAAAAACTTAACTGCAACTTTAGTTTCTAAGCCTAGATCTTAATTTACATTAATTCTATACGGTATATTATGAGCTATGTAAAAATAGAAATGCCTTGATAGGGCTCACTAATTAATTTTAATTCCTTTCCTTAAATTTAATAGCCAAATACTGACCTATCATAGCAGCTTTACAAAGATTGCTGCCGCTTATATGACTTGGATAGATAATATTGAGATTTCAACAGAGTTGTTCTTTCTATACTTGTAATTAACTGTAAAACTAGCCTAATCTTCAGTAAGCAACTGGTTTGCTTCCATGATTCTAAAAATATTTACTGTATTTATATAAGGTACCTTACCCACTTTGTATGTGTACGATGTTAAATATGCAATGTGCATCTAACTTAGCTATTTATGTGCATCATTTTCGGGCGAAGAAGCAGAGAATAAAATTAGGTAGTATCTCCGTTACTAAACTTGGACAGAGCCTCTTAAGCATTCTTACCGGTACCTATCAAGTTTTAGGATCATCTGATATATTGTTTTTCCTTCGATATAGTAGGATTTCGACATGAAATGTAATTTTTGACTATTAGCCAATAATAAAAATTCGTCTATGAAAGTGAAATTAATTTGTAAAAATATGCTTATATGGTTTAAAATCGTATTCTGGGTCTTTTTATCACCACTATCAATCCAGTTTAGAAATATTACCCAAAAATATAAGCTCTAGCAATTAGTGTAATCGGTTTATCGATAATTTGTACAATAGTACTGGTTCTGATTGATATTTGCATTCCATCTTCACATTCTGGACCTTAAAATGTACTATTGTTGCGGTGTCGCCTTGTCATTAGGATAGTTTAATAAGTTAATAAGTACAGTAGTAGCTAGTATAGAGAATATCCATATTTGTAGTACTAGGTAAGATAAGTAATGCCTTAATGTGGATGTTGTTCGTGATAGTTCATTACATATTTAATATTGATTGTTATTGTGTGATAGATAGCAGTAAGATGATTCAAGTTCTAGTTGATGATAGTTGAATTAGACAACCTACGAGCTTCGATTAAGATTAAGTATGAGTAAGAGATTCAAAATAATTACTGATAGAAAAGCTATGAAAGGAATATCTCAGTTCGAGATGCTTCTCCTAGTAAGGTATAATAATAATACTGTTGTTGTTTACAAATTAGACGGTTCCTATATAAACGGGAACATTTTAATTGAGTGGTGTGGTAAAAAGTTGTAGATGTATCGTTGCTAATAAAAGTTTCATCTTTACAGTATTTTGCTGAGTGTTTAGCGTTAAGTAAAAGGGCGTTTAAGTCAGGAGCTACTTATAGATCTTTACTGTACGTCACCTTGTCGCAGAAGTGAAATTGTGACAACTATTATGAGAGCAAAACTAATAACAGTAATGGTTTAAAATTAAACTTTGTAATATTATAATAGTTACTGATTCGATGCTGGTATTCTATTCATAGCTGCGGTACCTTGCACCTATTCTTTGTTTAGTAAAACTTGTTTTATCCATATAGATGAGTAAACTAGGTACTGTTTAAGTATATAAGCTACAAAAATGAACTGAAGCTTAGCTCTATGAAGGGCCATCATGAATGATAAAACGAAGTACTATAAGACTATTAGTACTACTTCATAATATTAACAGGCAGTCTTTACAGATTATGCTACCTGAAATTCATATTAAGCGGAAAAGCTATGTTGATTCATTCAATTTGTCCGCTTAGTCAATCATATGAATCTTTTGGCAATAAATCTAGCTCCTTCGTTTGCTTTATGCTTTCATGACCAGTAATGCTTTATTTCTGCAATCACCAACTCACTATTATACTGAATATTGTTGGTGTTTTGAAACGGATCTTAATGTAATGACCTCAAAATATCATATCAGATATTGTTGATGCATAGATATACTGTAAGATCAGCAGTTATTTATTAACTTCGCAATGCACAGACTACTTGCAAACTTATGATTAATCTCTTTATTTTGATAATAATTATAAAGTGGCCGTGATATAGGTTAATTTCAGAAATTCACACATACGTATGTAAGTATAGCGTAAGATCTATAGAACTAATAATTCATCATTAGCTACGTAAAACAAAGTAAAACACCGGGAAAGCTAAAGTTAATGAACTGTGATAATGATAATTAATTATACGCGTATATGATAGAGGTTTATTCAGAAATTCTTCTTCATTGCAACGCGCTGTAAAAAATAACTGCACATACGTGTAGTGCATATGTTAAGTATATACCGTAAGATTGCAGAACTAGCGATTCATTAGCTACGCAGTACAAACTGCAAACCAATACGTAAAGCAATGGTAAACTTAAAATTCGTTTATTAACTATGATATGATAATAATCACATATAATCGCGATAGAGGTTAGTTTCAGAAACTCTTTATTTTATTTTAATTTTACTACAGAAGTAATCATAATACGTATGAATTAAACAAAGTAGTCGTAGAGCAAATAGACCTAGAACAATATAAATGATTGTTATGATAACTTTTTTTTGTGGACTATCGTTAGGAATTAGCAGTTCTTTATCATAGAATAGAACATAAATTCGAACGTATTATCCTGGTCTTAAGTTATCGATGTTAGTCTATCTTCGTTTTGATTGCATACAGTCTATACTGTACCGTAGTTGTTGATTGTAGGTAGACTTCGTTACGTTTCGATTGTCTGTTTAGTAATATACTTTCTGGGCTTGTACGTATGATTCATTGCTGGACTAAATCAGATTACAGAACAACATTAATCAATTGATTTTTCAGCTATGACGGTACCAACGTACTACTGTACTATCAGTATCAATCTACTTAATCTGCAGTATGTCCAGGTCGCAAATTGTCGTTTCTCCCTAATTTAAATGGATTGGACTGTTGGACGATAACTATAGTTTTAAATCGGCATTTGCTAGATCTGTTAAGTACGTATGTAAATGACGACAAAGTGCGATAGTTTGGCAGAGAAGAGAAATAGAATTAAAGAAATACTTCAGCAAGCTAATACCGGTCTAAGTTTTACTTTGGTCAAGAATTATATTGTATAATTGTTGGATTGCTTTCGGCAGGGAATTCAGTCGCTGATTCTTGCTTTACATTATGTCTGGGTTACAAATTTTCCTTTCTTTCTGATTTGTATCGTTTGGGAAGTTTTTACGATAGATACATTATAGTTCTATCTCTCAATATTGGTTTGGCTCACAATCATGACTCAATGGCGAAAATTTGAATTCTTATTCTGACTTTAGAAAATCATTCAATGGTTCCAAAATGAAACTTGTGGCCGCTGTGTTACAGCCTAGACCCTATTCCTAATCGAAAACAGCCATAAACTAGACTAGCAACTAGACTAGCAGCAACGACTTTAGCTCAATACAGTAATTAGGAGTGTAATTTCGGGTTGTCGGATTGCGAACCCATCCACCGCTCTAGCCCAGTATTAATACTCTGGAGGAACGAGTATGGACTACTGATCATCCATCAACTTGACCTGTTTACCAAACCTAATAAAGCTCTTTCTTGGCCTCCCAAATCAAGCAGAGTTGACAGTTAATCAATGAAAGCCATCATGCTGTCGGTGAATGATTAGCATTGATTAAGGTTTAATAGACAGTACTGGCAATTGTAAACTGTCAATTCATTGATTTGACCTTAAAGTCATGGCTGTATTCACTGTTTGACCTCTGCTATTCTCTTCTCTGAGCACTGTTCTGAAATCGTAGACAGTACAGATTCTACTCTACCACTGTTAGCCTGAATATTATGGTAGAGTAACGTTGTTGCAGTATACTGTAAAGCGAGATTCTTTTTCTAATCTTTTTCACATAGTTTATAAGTAGCGCTACTAATTGCTTTATTTAGTAGCCAGCATACTCTAATTCGTGTTTCATCGTCATGCAAAGGCGATTTCAAGAGGAGCTTCTGCTTCTTTTTCGTTCGAGGGTTTTCTCGTCCATTGCTTCATATCAGATTGATCATTGCGCTGTACAGTACTAAAAAATGCAGTAAAGTACTGTACACTGAGTGTACAGTACCTTATCGTACTGTTCTGTACTGTACACTGTACAGTACAGTACTGTACCAGTTCCACAATAGGTGGATATTGATGTTATGTTGCAAGATTCAACCTGCTTGCTATCGATCGCCGTGGTTGTGTAGTTGAAAGGTCACGCTCGTACGGTATGACACATTACAGTACGTACAGCACTGAGTACAGTACAGTGCAGTACTGTCTTCGGAAATTGATTGAGTGACAAGTCTGACGGCCGTGGCCAAACGCGACGAGTGACGACAGCTCAGTCATTTCATCACGCCTCAACGAGGAAATTCATTGACACTTGGAAAATCTCCGCCATTGCTTCAAAGCTCCTTGCTGCCATAGCTCCTACTTCGACTGGCTAGCTGGATTGATTATTCATAAAAGTGAATATTCGAAATCATTCTGTCATTACGGAAATTGTTGAAAAGTTTGGGTAGTATCTAAAGGTCAATTCAAGCCACAACCCACTTTAATCGAAAAAGTAAGTCATGTTCGTTGATTGAACGACAATATACATTTTCACTCCCTGCAAGTTAATTCAACAATATTAACCTTAATAGAATAACGATAACGGCAATGTCAATAACAGAGAAAGAGAGAGAGAGAAAAAAAAAATAGTCAACACTAGTCCTAATAGAGAGTACTACTCGAATTCTCAAGAACTAGGCTGCCCAATTTCGTAGTTACATCAATCGACTCCAATTCTCCAGTTACTCTACTGTACAGTACAATAATATTTCTTTGCATTATAATATCGTAAAATCCAATATCGACGTAACACCAACTGAGTATCGCCTTCAGCATGTTATCCATGGTATCCAAATGGAATAGCTAGATTCATCGACGCTTGTGACGAGTTATGACTTACTTCTATTACATTATGTCCAGCGTAGCATTGGGCTAATTACTTGATGACAAGCGGTGAAAGCCCAACATTATCTTCTGTAGTTGTCTATCTGATTCAATACAACGGCCTAATTTGCCACATTTCCCAAATCACAACAACGTAGATGAAATAGTCCCAAAGAGTGTACAGTACACTGTGTGCTGGTGGACGATGAATACTTGTACATATTTTTATTTTTCAATAAAAATCTCCGATCAACAGTAATATCTGACTCTTACAATAATCTCGTTTACCTGCTCAAATTTGATTCAAGTAGATATTAGTATCTCTTGCATATCAGAAAATGCTAGCAGTGGATGAATCTTTTCTTCGTTATACCAACCTCATGAGATAATTTCCATCCCTTCTTACCTCCTAGGGAAAAAATCAATCATTCGTTATCGTAAACAAAAAATTCTGTTCTACCATTGGCTTTAAAATCCATCGGTACTGTACCTTTCTTTTGTACAAGTCCTTGGTAGTTCGTATCAAATCTAACGAGTATTTACGTACGATTGCTTAGGCTAAAATGGTCCACGATAGCCAGTCCTCTGCAGTTTTTATCATTTTTAACTAGAAATCAAATTCATTGCTTAAAAACTCCCTCTAGTCCTTCGAATTTCATTTACATACTGTACAATAAATTTCTTGTTGTCGAACCAGCTACAGTGGCAGTGTAAGTAAAATAAATTAAACTCGGTCTCGCTGAATTTTTGGCTGTACTTGTAGCCCAATGTTGTCAGTGTATGACTGATGACTGTGGATCGCATTAAACGAAACATTCTGCTATTGATTGACCAGATCTAACAGTCTTATGCCTATTAGACATTGTCATTATTTGGCGATAATTAATATTATAATAATTATATGATGGCAACCACTCTTGCTTGATTAACTTTTTCCAAAATCCTTCTTACTGCCCCTTTTAAATTGGCTTAATCCAATATCATGTATGCACATCAGCATAACTTATCCTTTACTGCGCGTATAGTGATTCAGCCAGAACTAAATTACTAATTCAATTAAATTAATGATTGCCGGTACTGATTTAAGTGTGTAGGAAGTACAGTAACGTTATTGACGGACATGCTATTGTTTGTCTTATGCTACCACAAAACATTAATTACCATGACCTTGATGTGAATAGTTACAGTACTATATAAACATTTTAAATTAAGCCGGTACCGCATGACAAGACAATTTCCACTACTTTGATAGACGATCTCTCGTTTATTCATGTATTTAAACATGAAGATCACTATTGAATGGTGATGATAGAATAATCTTGAAGTAAAAAAATGTAAACTGGAGCTATTTTATCATACACTTTTACAGCGTAAATCATGCATAAGTCAATTGTTGACGCTTTTAAATGCTAACGTTGGCACGTATGCATCAATTAATTTGCCAATTTATCAGTCCACGAAAGAATAATATTTCTTATTTCTGCTATCAATCAATCCACCTTAGTACAGTTATGGTCATAGACTACTAGAAGAAGACCTACTTCTCCTAGTGGTCCTATCTATGGTACTTTAGATTATCGTGAAATAACTAAGTTGCTAAACCCATAGCCATTTTTATTTTCATATCGGCACCACATTGCTTGTATTATTCAGAAGAATTAAACGGCGTTTCTTATTTTGAATAATCATATGTAAACTAAAATTGTCGAACGTTGGTTGATCGCTAATTTCGTCTGTAAACAGTGTAAAAACTTCCGTAGTAACCAGTGATCGCCATCACTAAAGTCAGTTTCGTACGAATGAGATAAAACTTTTCTCGCAATCTAAAAACTTTGTAATGCCAAAGTAATCATGGCTGATGGCCATCGTTCAATAGATAAAGGAATAAAGTACATTACAAATAGCCAACATAAGTTTGCAATTGATTGGTCTAATAAAAAGAAATGATATTACCCCTTTTGCGAATATTTCACCATCTTTCTACTCCATAGAATTGAATTACTGAATACGCTTTTACATCAATACGTAAGAAAGAAAGCACTATAATAATCAATAAAATTAAGCATTGGATCCTCAACAATTCAGTACTATACCTGCAAATCTTCAAATTCTCTGCTTTAAAAAGTGAAAATAAAACTAGTTGTATTTAACATATTCGAAATAGCATTATTTTCTTATGGCTCAAAAAGAATCTTATTCGACTGCCTAAACTGTAAATTGTCTACATTTAATTCTAGATCAAGGAAAATTCAACTAATAGTAATACTGTATGTACGGTATCATACGCCCATATCAAATATTTCAGTTTTTTAATAATCTTGGTTTTAATTTCAATCGAAAAATTTTAGGAATCGGGAAATATGAGCGGATTCGAAGGAGATTTAAACCCGTCGCAACAGGCTGCTCTAGATGAAGTAAGTCAAATAAATAGTCTATATTTATTTCTGAGCTTTACAACCAACTCGTTTTCGAAAAGCAACCCAGTTAATGAGCAGTATTAATTATTATGAGATTGTGGCCGTATAGCCTAGGCATTTATAATTTGAAGACGCTTCATTGCTCTTATGTATAGCGTTTAAAATTTCTTCGGTCATTAAATTGTAGATATATAGTCTATACAATAATTGTAGTTGACCTGCGTATGCACATATATATGATGACGTTGGCTAATTGATTTGCAATAGTTTCGTGAAAACGTTAAAGGAAAGATTCCTACGGAACGAGTTTCAAATGATCATTATTTGTTGAGATGGCTACGAGGTAATAATATTATGTCGATAATTATTATATATCAACTTTTTTAAGCATTATTCTAAGTGAATATTTTTCTGTTGCTATAATGATTGCTACCATAATAGCTCGCGATTTTAACGTATCAAAGGCCGAAGAAATGATTTGTAAAGTATATTAGCAATATAACATAATAATAGCTTTTACTGGTTTTGAAACGATGGTTGTAAGTCATAATGATAAAACTGTTGCTGTGCATTGTATCATTACTTTGGCAGTCTATGATCTATCGTAAAGAAATGAAGTTGGATACAATCATGGATGACTTCAATGTGCCAGAAGTAAGTTATCAAATTTATCACCATCGCCATACACAGTATTTGTTAGAGATTCATTATATGTGTATTATATATGGATGTACAATGATTCTTCATAAGTGAAATAATGAAAAGCAACAGTAAACAATACAAATTTAATTTTACCAAAGGTAATACAAACTTATCAAGCTGCAAATATTATTGGATTTACTAAAACTGGAGCGCCACTGATGGTCATGCGTAACGGTATAATTGATCGTAAAGGTAAGATAATCTATTTGCCGTTATATTGTTTCTGCATATAAGATATACTCATTTTAGAATGCTAAATAGTAGTGATTCATGCTTAGTCTGCATTCACTGTTTTTACCTGTAAACTAAAAGATTATAACTATGCGATATATTTCTTTGAATCCATTAGGTATTTACCTCTCCGTCCGTAGGCAAGAAATGACGAAATACTGCTTACGATTGGTTGAAAAATGTAATAGTTTGATGGAAGAAAAATCAAAGGAGGTATTTTTGTGTAGATTTAAATTAATATGAGGATTTATGCATCTTAAAGATTAAGTTAGTTCGAAGTTTATGTTTTTCTACAATTGCTATGGTACCTAATTATTTATTGAATTTATTATATTTGCTGACATCTTACAGACTGGCCGTAATGTTAAAGGAATGGTATTCATACAAGACTTTGAAGGATTTGGCTTAAAAAATATGCATAGACCATGTAAGTAGCATTTCCTTGTCGTCCTGATGACTAAACCTAAGTTCACGTACTTTAAGTTATAATATTAGTTATACACGTTTGCATTTCTTCACGTCGTCAATACCGTGTTCTAACGTTTTGCTTTAACATTTTCAGCTATAACATTTTTCGCTCAGGTAAGTCAAACTTAAACCACGGTATGAATATGTTAAAGTAACTTTAATTTCCTATAATAACTGAACTTCATCTTAAAAATTTATATCAACAACTATCTAAAACTATTTATGGACTAGATGACTAAAATATATGATGAAAATTATCCAGAATTAATGGACGCTGTATATATTGTAAATGGTATGAAGCCGCATAGAATATAAACCTTAAAAATAATTAGAGCTGTAGAATAGTATCATCTAATAACTAAGTGTCACATACGATCTAATTTTACTGTTAACAATCTTAAGTTTATTCATTTTTATGCAGCTCCTAAGATCTTTTATGTGATTTATGCGGCAATAAAACCTTTCTTAAATGAAAGAACTCGACAAAAAGTTCATATTTTCGCTGGTATAATCCTAATATGTGCATAACAGCGTATTTTTATGTACCGTAAGGATATTGGTATGTCGTGCTTATTAACAATTTCTTTCATTATTATTTCGAAATCGTGTCTACATAAACTTAAGGGAATTATGAGAGTAAGTTGGTTGAAGCCGTGGGTAGCAAGTATTTACCAAAATTTCTTGGCGGTGAACTCGTGGACGAAAATGGTGATCCATACTGTTCAGCACTTGTAAGACGAATTTGCTCGATTCATTATGCTGAAGAGATTTAGCTACTTTAATGTCATTAACCCAATAACTAACTCGAACATAACACTATTATGAATAGATAGGTAAAGGTGGCGATGTGCCGAAATCTTATTATTTGGCAAATACGGACTGTGATCAATCATTAGATAAGTATTCAACAGTTCATGTTGGAGCTAGGGACACTCTTTCCATGGACTTTGACATTGATACTCCTGGAACAGAAATCTGGTACATTAGAAATGTTTTTAAAGTTAACGATTGTAAGATAAATTAACCGAAGTACATATTTTTATTCAACCAATTTAGTTGGGAATTTAAAACTGACAATCACAACATTGCCTTTGGTATTTACAAGAGTATATCTTCTAATAACGGCAACACTGAAAAACTTGACGTTGTAAGGAATTGACTATCAAATTTTATTTAGGCTTTCTATAAGTTCTATTATGTAATTCCGATATTCAATTTTGAAAAGGTTACTTTACTACGCCGTGATAGTCACTTGTACACGGAAATTGGTAGCTACTGTTGTGAAGATCCTGGTCAATGTAAGTTGTAATCGACTGTATTATGAATTACGTGAAGAAGGGTTAGGTACAAAACTTTATCATTAACAGTAACTAAAATACAACTGACTATCAATTTTTGGTAATTAGATACGGTAGTGTTTGATAACACCTTCAGCTGGATCAACAGTAAAACTTTGCGTTATCTTATCGAAATCAAGCCCCCTGGTAGCGAGAATTTCTGATATGATGAAATTCGGATATTCACAGTTTATTATATGTTTTAACATAATGACAAACTATAATTTTGTCTAATAATTACGTTGTATCATTAAATATAATCAGCGTTATCATCCTAGCTGAGATAAATTTGGGAAAGAATGTAACTGGGCAGAACCTGTAATCCAATAATGTATATAACTATGGAAGAAAAATTTTGCAGTTTAGAACATAACTACCGGAATAGTCAAATTCCTGTATATCTTTACATGTATTTCATTTAATCGTATAGAACTAGGTTTCTTCTTGAACTTGACTGATGATATTCATATGTTGCCTGATATACGAGTACCATAGCTATAGCTAAAGACTTGATGATAACATAGGTAATGAACATGTTTCACGATTATCAATATTCTAAGTTTATGAAAATCGAATATAATTATTAATCCGTATATTACAGTCAACCGTAGAAATCATACATTCCTAAAGTATGAATACTTTAAATATGCTAACCTTTGATTTATATCGAATTAATAATTTCGAAATAAGATTTGATTTTTGTCTGCTTGAATAATTATTCTCTTTACCTTGATCAACTTATTACTGCAATAGCTTTAGTAGTGGACTAATTTGTTTCAATTATTCATTGATTATTGATCTTGATGTGGGTATTTAATTAAAGATGCTTAGTCATTCATTTCTTGAATTACAACATCTTAAATGACATTTTTAATCTGTTTGGCGGCACTTCTGTATAATTATAGTTCCTGCGTTTAGTGCATAATATAAGTATTGACGCAGTGTTACAGCTCTTCCTCGGCTATTGTAAAGCTGAATATATGCATGAAGAGAATTGGTTATACTGTAAAAAAGACCTCCTACCAGTATTGCTGATTCATGTTTTGGAATTGACATTCATACTTATGATGGTTAAACATACACATGCAGAAATTATTTTTGTTGAGGTCGATCCACTATTTCAAGTAACTTTCTATTCGAAAGTGCGTCGCATAAATGGTTACATAATTTTACTAAAAAATTACAATACCACCCTTATCGAATTAACACAGATTATCACCAATAACTCTTTGAATCGCAGAATGACAAATATGGTAATGGAATTAACTTTATTTCATAATATTAATCACTACATTTGAATGACAGTAAGGATGGAAAAGAACGGAGCCTAATCTAGATAATTCTTATAATCCTCTTAGCTATGGTTATATTATTCAAAAATTTATGTGAACATAGTGAATTTATTTATCAATCAAATGAATATTGATTCCATTAGTTATTACATCTACGTTTGGCAATAATTATCAGTTGGCTTATTAACTATTCTTACCGCTTTATATGCTCGTATATTTGAATCAGCTATAATAATCGATTGATTATATTCACGGTATGATACTGTTTCATGTGGGGTTCCTCTTGTATGGAATATATGTAGAAGCTCACTTTTGCACAACACTTTAAAAAAACTACTAAAGAAATTAAATGTGATTGATGCTGTTAGTCAGATCAGCCATTATTTTCGCCTATCTTGCAAAGTTGATGACGTTTAAGTGATAATTAATTTCATTAACTCTAGGATCTAAACTATCTCACCAACTAAATTCGACTGCCTATCCTACGCCAAACAATTAAATACTATCCTTGCTCTTGTTACCGCATTTGTAAATCGAAAGCAAAAACGATGGGTTATTATAAGAGTAGAATAAATTAAAAATGTGAATGCTAAGGGGAGTAGATAGTTGTAGTAATACTATTTTAGGAGCCATATGTGGTTTGCCACACTGTCGTTATTAATATTTTCGTAAAGAAATTCACAAATTGATCTTCGTGGCTCCAATAATGAAGTAAAGCGATATTAATTGTTGTTTACTGAATCTATAATTTTAATGCTTGCGGCGATATTTTTGTTGTTGAATCAAATAATTAGATAGCAAAACAACTGTCTTCAAGCTTGTCGTGAATACATTATAAAAATAGAATGAATCGTTTCTATAGCTAGGTAACAGTAATTATGTCCCAATGACTGAGACGATTGCCAAGCTGTTGCTAAGTGGATTGCTTTCCTGGTAGTCAAACTACGGAAGCTATAGCTAATTGATCTGATGATTATTATCGCTGAGAAAATTGGTAGCAATTCCCGAATGACGACTCAGCATATACTTGTAGATATGTTTAGTAAATCAGGAAGAATTAGTGATACTTGGACAAATTTTTGTCGTTTAATTTGCCATCTTCATAATGCTAATGTTGAGAATCGTTGTTTTTATTTAGCCAAATTTGCAATAATAGCTATTTTCACGTAAAATTTGGTCCTATTGGAATAGGTGATTTTCATAATCTGTCAAAAATAGCAATGATTTTACGTCATCATTATCTAGTTTGCCGGTCTTGAAGCTCTTTACGTAGAGAGAAGTTTGATATTTAACTTTAATGAAATATGTAATAGAGAGCATCAATCCAGTAACCATTATCTTGATTTCTGTACAGCCACCAAGAGTAGTCAAATACTGTAATTATAGAGCTATTTACTACATCTTAATGACCGTGATAAAGTATTACTGATTAATTTGATGGATAACTCCAATCACTGGACAAAATTTGTGTGAATACAGCTTTTTGTGATATTATAGACTAATAAAACTATTACGCTACCTCGTCAATTTGACTCTGCGAGAAATACTGTAAGTAATTTTTTCTTCTGGTTCTTTCATAATAAGATATCGGTTAATCTATTACCGTAACAACCATCAATCACTAGAGAATAGATAATTTAGAAAGTAATTTAGCCCACTAATGCAATAAAGCAAAAATAAATTCTAATAATTGTTATGATATAAAAAAATCGATGTTTTTCAATTTATTTAGACAGTTAATAAGTAATGGAAATGTATTGTATTTTTCAGACATTGGCCGAGTCCGACGCAATAACTTTGGGAATAATTGTAGTAGTTATAACAACAACGTTCATTTTATCCCTTGACTGGCTAGGTGTAACGTCAGTTCTTGAGGTAAATAAATTATGCAGCCGTGAAGTAACTAGTATTTTAATGATGACAGGAATAAGCGGATTAAGCGCCGTATTAGAATACAACATGATGACAAGTATCGGCAAGAGGAAATTTTCTCGATCATCAAATTCTACTGGAGTCATAGCGCGTTGAATAATTACCCACACGATAACCGGTATCCACGTTACTACGCTAGTAATAATAATCCATGCAGTTATAACTTGAATATGACGTTCAATAGGTGATTTACGTCGCTGTATGCTTTGTCGATGTCTTTTTAATCGGATTAATATAGCGATATAAAGTATAGCAATCACAATATTGACTCCAATACCGACAGTCATATCGAGGTATGTTAGAGCATTAATGATAAATGTGCTCGATCCTTCTAATTGACATAAGTGTCCAAGAATACTATAATGGCCGGGTTTCTTTAAAGAAATGCTATAGCTATCAACTGCGCCTAATATGGCAAGGATTATTCCAATAGTCCAGAATACAGCCAATGTGACTTGTGCTTGAAATACTGAAATTCGATACCGAGTTGATGCTGAATAAAAAACGGCTAAATAGCGGTCAAGGGTTATAACAAAGGTTATTAAAATAGAAATAATAAGGGATGTTTGAGCTAAGAATCTTTCTACGGAACAGGTTGGACTAATAATCCAAGTATCAACAGAAGGATGAATTCGTAAATAGCTAATATTACTGAAATTTTGCGATATAGTATATGTAGCGTCGCTGATAGCTAAGATTAGAAGGTAGCTTCCGCCAAGGAGATCCGATACCGCTAAGTTAAATAGCAAAAATGCGAAAGAAGGATTTAAGTTAAAGCTGTTACGATGTCTGAAATACCGATGAAGCAAGCCATTTTGACAGTAATTATATGCTATCCATAGAATGATGATCAAATTCGATGGAATGGCAATAATTCCAAACATCCATGTTACAATACGCACTCCATTATTATTTTGCAATACTCGTGTATAATAAGCGATATCCTCCGCATTTGCCATGATCCCATCAGATATACAGGTTTGATATTTTGTGAACTAGCTATTGAATAAACGAGAACTAATCTTAGTAGGATGTATCATTGCGATTAATGTCCAATAAAGTTAAATCACAAATGACTAATCTAGCATGCAACGTATGCACGAATATATACCACATCATATTAAAGCTTGGATAAAACTTAATATGAAAATTGCGAACGATATTACGAACTATTGATGTATTAAAAGCAAAATACGACGAAAGTACACTTGGGTCATTTGCCCATCTGCTACTAATACAATGAAAACCAAATGTTGAAGTAATATACTTCACGATAAGAAAATAACTTTCATTTTCAATTGATTAAACAAAATAAAAATCAATTTTTACGCAATTTTTATTTTATTCAGGGTGACTAAAGAGCAAAAGATTGATTGATATAGCGTTCTATTATAGAAACGAAAGCGAATATCGAGTCGCAAAGAGTATTAATAAGAAAATAAATAGAGAATATCAAGCAGTAGACTCTCTATTTCTTCTATTACAGACTTTCCTTTCTAGCATCACAATAACTAACGAAGACTGGAAACGCTTTTATATCTAATCATAGCACTACATAATTTATTTCTTAACCAATTCTTAGACCGCGAGACTGCCCAGAAAATTCAATTTATCAAGCGAAATCTTAAAACCGATCACTCATTTTTACTGACTATCTATGATTAAAAGAAAATCTACATGGAGTAGCTTCCTCCCTATATCACTCTAGGCCAATTGTGACAATCTGAAGTATTTTAAATAATCCCTCCAAATCTTAATTATAAATTAAAATTTCTCATTCGAATAGTTTCATGGTTGGAATAAATTACAATTTCAAACTTAGAAGCAACATTGTATATTATATGATGGTTACTAATCTAGGAGACCAGTATAGAATTGATAATCTTTTAGCCTTAATTAATCGATAACCATTTTAAAGCCAGTTCTTTCTACGTAACAACACTGAGAATTTCTACATACAATTTATAAAATGCTTTCCGTTTAATACTAATACCTTTTAAATTATAAGTGTTAACTTAGGGTGAGGTTCCAATTTCTCGAAATTGCCTCTTCTAATCATAATTTCAACTATGACTGACATATACGACACACTATACCCAGGAACAATGACAAAACAAATACTAATAATTTTCTTTAAATGTTTACTCTCGGTTGCTATAAGATTTTACTTCAAAATTAGCATTTTCTATTAGCATTAATGATTCTCTTCGAACTAAATTATGCGCATATACTGCAATAAATTTTAAAAGCAATTTGTTTTGCCTTATAGTAGGAGCGCCAAATAAATAAGTTTTGTATGTCATACCGTAAGGTTATGCAATTATCTACAGAGAAAGATTCTAAGAGAATGAATAGTAGTTCGCCCAGCGCTTCTGTATTTGATGACGAATACAGTAAAATCAGAAAGAAAGTGAAGTTCATATCAACCTACTCCGAGACATTCGATCATGTACATAAATCATTATTGTAGTCCAGGTAAAACTCATATCATAAAAGAAAATAGTAATAAGAGTATTAATAATTACATTTACGAAGTAAATTATACCGTTAGTTAGCTGCTATACTTACGTCTAGCTTCTATTATTAAAGTAATACAAAATTGAAGATCAGTCCAATTCAGCTTGATATATTAATATTGAGTATTCGACAAATTCAAATTTTGATGTAGCAATAATAAGTAAAAACTCTCAATTGAAGTTCACAATTTTATGTAATTTAATATCCGCTTGTCTTATAATATTATGCTCTTCAATTTGAAATAAGTACTGATAGGGCTTGTCATAAGGTAAACTAATTGTAATCCTAAAATTCTTATTCTTCTTATAATTCAATATTCATTACCTTGAAAAAAACTACCTTTCAAAGTACTAGTATGCTTTTTAATATAAATCACCTCGAAATCCTTGTCGTCTAGACAAGTAATTAACATTCAATTAATGCATTTTTTTCTAATGAAGATGAATAAAAATTGAACATTTAATCTTGAACAATTTGCTATAGATTTTCTCTACAAAGAAATAATTAGCATAGAACTTCCAATTTATGAAATCTTGTTGCATTATATGCTAATATTAGTCATAATGACAAGGTTATTCATCTACCATTAAATAGAAATTGTTTCACTAATTGAATATTAAGACACACTGCATATAGACTTATAAATACTAGATACTATTTAAAATTTTCGATTTATTCAAAATTGCTTTTTATTTTGATTATATTGAGCTGGCAAGAACAGCATGCCTTAACATTATTTATATTTCACGTAACATTTCCGCTATAACATGAACAAACTCATATCATGAATCTTTTCCCGCTACTCAAATCTAAGACAGGATCTGATAGATCAAGGTTTGAGAATGATAAGTACGCTATACCATCATATCACTAGATTATTTCTCAAGCGAAAGGAAATCTTATATGAATATTGAGTAGCAATGCTATTGCTACAATTACGATTTGTTAATACAAAATCTAATTGATCATTGGGTCATAAACTACTAAAATGCATCTAATTTATGACGAAGACAAGTAAACACCAATACATTGAAAGCAATATCCACTTTGGTTGGCAATTATACAATTATTAATATATATTAATGATTGATTCGATTTTGATCTTCCGCCCACAGGATATGCAGTATCAAAGAATGAAGATGACAATAAACGCGTATAGCAAACAAAATGGATATCACATAAAATACTAAAGATGATGCTATTTTTGATATTATGAGTCAGGTTAAGACATTTGCATGACTTTAATTTTACGGAAATTTTCAATTTGTGTGCTATAGTACGAAAATGCCATAGCCATTCAGATCTTATACAGATTTAATTATTTTATTAATAATCTATCAAGAATTGAAGTTTACGATTAACACATTCTTGATTTTAAGAATACTTCTTAAGCAATATCCGTAATAAGCATAATTTACAATCATATAGATTTGCATACTATAGATTTAGTAATTTCTCGTCATGTATGGTAGTGTATTTACTCATTATTACACGTAATTAGGCGAAAACAAAAGATGATTAATAAAATAATTTAATTAATTAACGTCATTACCTCGAATTAAACTGTTTGTGACCAGAATGAAAAAACAGCGAGATTGATTTTGAGACTTTCTACAAAAATATTAGTTCGCAGTCTAGATACAATGTAAATTATTTATTAAAGAACTACTACCATTTAAGGAATACTATCCTCTAAAATGCCTCAAGGAGTGGCATTGTATGAAAATCAAATTGAATAAAAGAAACTCGAATTTATCACTGAATTTTTATAATCAATATCCCTAGAATTTATTTATTGTCCCGCATTGCTTACGAAGAACAATTTTATCTCGATGTTTCATCTTTCATAAATATGAAAAGAACATTCTGTAACGAGTCATAATATCAGTTCTCTAATCATTTTTATATGTTTAATTCAATTGTAGTAAATAAGTATTGGTCTACTTTAATAAAAAATACCACTGTACTTTAAACCGAAAGAAAATCGGGTAGGAAAATACCAATGTACGATGTATGTTTCATTCTGAAATTATCGAAAATATACACAAAGCATACGACAAATGTAGCTTTACCAAACAGCAATATAATTTAATAATAAGAGCATTAACATAAAAAAGAGTAGAATTCCTATCATAAGCAATCAAATTGATTACAAAATTTAAAAACTTAAGATTAGCCGTAATATCCAAGTCTTGCAAAACTTCTACCTTTCTTTATTGCTGCAACAGTATTTCTTTATTTCTCTACGACACTTTCGAGCAGCAACTACTTTTTTAATTAATTGTTACTTTAAAGTCTAGTAACTAATTACAAGAGCTTAGAACTATTCTGTGGTACAATTTTCTGTATACCACTAAAGTTAGCAAATTGACTATAAGTAAATCTGTGTTTATTAGGCAACTAGGGCATCTGTATGCTATTTAAAACTTTAAAATGGTCTATTCTCCATAAATTATAATCCAAATAATGCCAGCCATATTTATAGCTATCCAAGTTTTTATCAATAGCCAAGAGTTTTAGGATTATTTTAATAATAGGCTAGCTTGTTTAAAAATATATGTGTTCACATATGTATAATACTAAGACTCTTTATATAGAGATGGCAATTATTGGCTGTAATTAGAACCCTTCAACAGTTTAGCAATCGGTAATAAATTCAAGAGTGGAACAAATGGAAGTTAGATTCACTTCGCTAATCCCATCATTCCTAATGCTTAGTTTTCAGAAAACTCTTTGACAGGATCATACAACGCTAGTATATTTGCTTCAATGCTAAGAATATCATTATAACTTGATGTGAAGACATCATTTAAGCCACACCAGAAATACAGCATGGCTCTCACATGATTGTGATTTGGTATGAATTAAATACTCGTTTTTGTTATTCTAGGTTACAATACCGCAGACGAAAAATCTTCTCACTAAAATCTGTAGCGATTAATCTATTTTATAGCCGAATACTTATAAAATATGATCTACCATTACCTTTAAAATAGCCAGATGACTATTGTGCTCTGCATTGCGTACAAAAAAAAGTAACAGCTATATAAAATAGTTTTCTATTTGAACATTAGGTGATACTAATTGAAAGTTTACAGCAAGCGAGTAATTATTCTATAACGTGTAATAATTTCATTTTATATCATTTTTCCAATATATTGTGAGTGAACTACAGTAATTAGCTACATTAGTTTACGCAATTAATTAAAAATTAAATAGTGTCTTTCCGTCTAAATATAATCTATTCTAAAAAATCAGATCATTCGTGAAATAACTTATTAAAATAATTTTGAAATAGGGCTTTAGTAGACTAAGCAGCATTAAAGTATATATGAGACCAAGGCTGATGATGAGACGGGTTGAGGTTTGTATGTACTACTATAATATTTATATTTGGTGTTTGTGGCCGTGACTAAAAACCCTACTTTATCCCTTAGTCATA